ACCTTCTTAACCCCTGATAATCCGCCAACCGAAAGTTTGGGACTCTGACCATATTGTCATTGTTTTTCGTTTCCCAATTTCGGGTGAACCTGATTTCTCTGTGATCACTGTTACCTAGTTCTTCCCCTACTGTGATATCTCTGATAATATTTTCTTTATTTGTTAATACTAGGTCTAATATATTGTCACCTCTAGTAGGTTCTGTAATTAGTTGTTTCAAAAAATTGTCCTGTACTGTGTCTAGGAAGTCTTCAGATTCATAGTCGCCTACAATGTTGTCCCAGTCAATATTTCTGAAGTTGAAATCCCCCATAATGCATAGGTTGTTATATTTTGCTGCCCTACTCATTTCCTGCCATATGGGCTGAGCTGCTTCTTTGCCAAGACTTGGGGGGCCTGTAAATCACTCCCATAATTATATCTTTGCATATCTTTGTATAATGTATAGTTGTGTGGATGTATATATGTAACTATTTGCTCTCAGAATTCGAATGGGATTGATTAAGAGAGAAGATAGTGTTGAAGATGAAATAATTTATATTCCTTATACCTGGCCTTAATATAAAGGGTGCACTGTTGAGACCGACTGTTGATAACATCGAGACCACTATTTTTAGGACAGCTGAGATGGATCACCTGAAGATTAGACACCCCATCTTATTTCACCAGAGTATTAACCACCTTTAACTCTAACCTGACCTGATTTGACCTAATGTTAATAAGCTGGAGGTGTAAAATTTTCAGGTGCTCCACAGAGATTAAGAATACCTTACGTACAGGTGTAAGGCTGTGTGCGTCTCCAACATTACAGTATAATGCGTCGGTAAAGCGTCAAGAATTCACGGTGTCCCATTCCGAGTTGGCGAGTTAACCCTGGATTGGAGTTATTGGGACGGGCGGCGTTGTATTCCACTCTCATATAATGGAGCCGAGTCATCAGTGGTGCTTACCGACTAGCCAAGACCGCTTATTATAGCGATGGTCGAGTTACTGTTGATATTATTACTGCACAGAGGGAGGGATACTTGGTGTGGAGGCGGCTAGGAAATAGTTATATTAATCTACACCAGGAAGATACCGGAAAACCAGCTTTTTAAAGTGAGACATTGTATGACGATCATCCAGCTATGATACAATGATATAAATTATTAGGAATGTGGTAACCTTCATTGGTGAGTTTTGACCGGCAGAGTCGTTCACAGATGTTGCACATGTGGAGGGCTACATCTAGTGCGGGTGGAGCGGCGGCAGCGTCTTTCAGGCGTTGGCGCTTGTCTGCCTCGGTTTGCAGTCGGGCTAACTCGAAAATATTGACACCTCGTGTGGTGCTCCTCCAAGCGTTGCGGTGTGGAGTGATCATCTCCCAGGTGAGGGGGTCGATTTGGCACTTTTTCAGTTGCCCGCCAGCGTTACGTTTACTATTCGTTAGGTGACTGTAAAATAGTTGCTTTGGCAGTCTACTTTCGTCCATGCGGGAAACATGGCCATAGGCTAGTCCAGCGTAGTTGTTCATGGATAATGGTACACACATACCCACATTCAAACCTACCGACCTATGTACACACACATACACACCCCCTCACACACACATACACCTCCCCACACACACACACCCCCCACACACACCCCCCCCACACACACACACCCCCCCACACACACACACCCCCACACACACACACCCCCACACACACACCCCCACACACACACACCCCCCCACACACACACACCCCCCACACACACACACACCCCCACACACACACACACCCCACACACACACACACACACACCCCACACACCCCACACACACACCCCACACACACACACCCCACACACACCCCACACACACACCCCACACACACACAACACCCCACACACACACACCCACACACACACACACCCCACACACACCCCACACACACCCCCACACACCCACACACACACCCATACCCCCCACACACACCCCCATACCCCCACACACCCCATACCCCACACAACCCCACACACACACACACCCCCACGCACACACCCCCACACACACACCCCCCCACACACACCACACACACCCCACACACACACACACCCCCCACACACACACCCTCACACACACACACACACCCCACACCCCCACACACACACCCCCCCACACACACCCCCATACCCCCATCACACAACCCCATACCCCCACACACAATTCCCCATACCCCCACACACCCTGCCAATTTAACCTTACAGGTGTTGGGGCAGGTAAGGAGAGAAAGGGAAAGATGATTGACATAATTATGCTGAATTTACTGTGTGTGTGTGTGTGTGTGTTATTGAATGTGAATGCATTTGCTTACAAGAGAGACGAAAGTGTGTGGAGAGGGATAATTAGAATTGCGTGCATGTGGAGGGGGGGCGGGGGGGGGGATCACTTTTAATGATGTAATATTATGAACCTTACCTGTAGTCCAAGTAATCCAGAACTTCTGCCACCGTGTTGCCATCGCCTTGCCGACTGTCTGTCATCGCCTTGCTGCTGTCTGCCATCGCCTTGCCGACTGTCTGCCATCGCCTTGCCGACTGTCTGCCATCGCCTTGCTGCTGTCTGTCATCGCCTTGCCGCTGTCTGCCGAGGGGCTATATTTACTTGAGCGACCGTCAACTACCTGGGGGAAGACCCACTTGAAGAAAAATTACTGCCATTCACCAGTCTCAATGTGTCTCGTTATGGGTATTGGTGATGCTGCGGCCACTACCTGCCTGCCTGCCTGCTGCGGCCACTACCTGCCTGCTGTCGCCACTACCTGACTGCTGCCACTACCTGCCTGCCTGTCACTTCCTGTTCTGTCTACTATCCACCTGCCTTCTATTAGCTACCACACCTACTGTTTCCCTGTTTGCCCATCACTACCCCCGCCTTCCATTTACCAACCCCCGCCTGCCACTCTTACCAACCCCGCCTGCCACTTCCTACCAACCCCCCGCCTACCTGTCACTTGGCACTGAACCCCTGCCTGCCTGCCACTTACTCAACCCCCGCCTGCCTGCCACCTCCCAACCCCTGCCTGCCTGCCACACTTCCCAACCCCAGCCTGCCCAAGCCACTTCCCCAACCCGCCTGCCTGCTCCTTCCCAACCCCAGCCTGCCTGCCACTTCCCAACCCCGCCTGCCTCCCACTTCCCACTCCCACCTGCCTCCCACTTCCTGAACCCCTGCCTGCCTGCCACTTCCCAACCCACGCCAGCCTGGGCTACTCTAACCCTGCCTGCCTCCCACCTCCCAACCCCCCTGCCTCCTGTCACTTCCTAACCCCCTGCCAGCCTGCTACTCCCAACCCCCTGCCTGCCTCCTCTTCCCAACCCCTGCCTGCTTCCCCCCTCTTCTCTCCAACCCCTGCCTGCTTCCCCCTCTTCCCAACCCCTGCCTGCTTCCTCTTCCCAACCCTAGCCAGCCTGCCACTTCCCAACCCCTGCCTGCCTCCCACTTCCCATCCCCTTCTGCCTGTCTGCCACTCTCCCTACCTCTTGCCCCTGCCTGCCACTCCTCCCAACCCCGCCTGCTTTTCCCTCTTCCCAACCCAGCCTGCCACTTCCCCAACCCAGCCTGCCTGCCTCTCTCCCAACCCCCAGCCTGCCTGCCACTTCCCAACCCTGCCTGCCTCCCACTTCCCATCCCCACCTGCCTCCCACTTCCCAACCCCCGCCTGCCTGCCACTTCCCAACCCCTGCCTGCCTCCCACTTCCCATCCCCCGCCTGCCTACCACTTCCCAACCGCCGCCTTGTATAAATATTTTGCCATCATAAAATGCTTTCTCCGTACAAAACGTGTTTATTTTTCTCCAATAAAAATTAAATACTGTAGTTTTATTTACACTATCAAATAATGTTATATATTAATATTTATTTATAAGGAATGTTATTGTAGGAGTGTAAAATATTCCATGCAGGTTTGTCATCATTGTATCTTAAGTTACAGAATATAACCAAGAAACGTTCTATATTTGTGAGTAATACCACACACGTGAATATGGAATTTTGTGCGTATGTGGGTGGTTAACCGTCACCTACAAATGTTCATTTTTTCGCGGAATTTTAAGTCGAGTGTGTCCTCACACCCGGCGGCTACTGTCAGTGTAATATGGCAACAAAAGTGAAGTGAGCCTATTACCGGATTAATGTATTATGTATGGAATGTCCTTATTTGGAAAGTTATCGTAAGAGATATTGAGAATATTAGTCCCCATAGCTGGGTAACAGTGATCGTGGCTCTGGGTAAACTCTCACGACTTGTATACGTCGCCTTCCCGTCGGTCAAACGTCGTATCAGGCTCGCAAGCGGACGTGTATGGCGGGGAATTGTGGCAGACTGGTGTTGTAACACAGTTTTGTTGTTGTACAGTCACTCACAAAAGTCCTGTTTCCTCTTCTCTTGAACCGTCAATCTGAAGTATTTATGTATGCAATTATGCATTAGTGTCTACTGCTTAAGGTTTACGAGTCTGAATCTTGGAGTTCGTGGTTCAAGAGACAGGACTGTTGTGGGTGTGTGTATATTATATTGCCTGTCATAATGATAACAGTAATAAGTGATAATTTGTTATTATTGACAACATGAATCATAGAATTATATATATATATATATATATATATATATATATATATATATATATATATATATATATATATATATATATATATATATATATATATATATATATATAATGAGAATGAGAGCGTGTTTAACCCCCCACCAGAATTTTATTTACGAAATAAAGTATATGTATTTATGTTTATTTATTCTGGGCCTTTGATATCAAACTTCAAAGTGCGTATGTGTGTGTGTCAGTCAGTATGAACTTTTCCCTACAGTATATGCCTATACATGTCTGTTTATATACCTGCGACACTGTGTGTGTATGTGTCCACACATCACCACACACCTCCTGTCTCCAACTTGCGGTCCCATGATATAAACATACCTCTGTCTTTATCTGTGTGTACATGAACCTGTGTATCCATGCATCCTCCACCTAAGAATCTCCTTTCCTCTCCCGACCACAGTTCCTCGCGGGAGGTGCGGAACTTGGCGGAGAAGGTGCGTCGCGACAAGCTGAACCGACACGTGACAGAGCTGGCCAGTCTGGTGCCTCTAGTGGCTGGGGCCGGGAGGAAGGTGGACAAGACCTCTGTGCTGCGGCTCGCGGCCAGTTACATCAGGATGAACGACAGTAAGTCTTTCTTTCCTTCATTCCTTACATTTTTTCTTTCTTTGTTTATTGCTTTGGTTCTATGTTTTTGTTTTCTTGTTTCTTTTTCCAGAAAGTTCTGAATTTAAGTATTATATTGCATGTTAACCCACAACCATCCCTCTCTCCTGCACATCATGTTACACCACAACCATCCCTCTCTCTTGTACATCATGTTAACCCACAACCATCCCTCTCCTGTACATCATGTTACACCACAACCATCCCTCTCCTGTACATCATGTTACACCACAACTATCCCTCTCCTGTACATCATGTTAATCCATAACCATCCTTCTCTCCTGTACACCATGTTCCACCACAACCATCCCTCTCCTGTACATCATGTTACACTACAACCATCCCTCTCTCCTGTACATCATGTTACATCACAATCATCCCTCTCTCCTGTACATCCCTCTCTCCTGCACATCATGTTCCACCACAACCATCTCTCTCTGTACATTCCTGTACACCACAACCTTCTCTCTGTTTACATCATGTTACACCAACCATCCCTCTCTCCTGTACATCATGTTACACCACAACATCCTCTCTGTCCTCATGTTCACCCACAACCATACATGTTACACCACAACCACCCCCTCTCCTGCACATCATGTTACACCACAACCATCCCTCTCTCAAGTACATCATGTTACACCACAACCATTCTTCTCCTGTTCATCATGTTACACCACAACCATTCTTCTCTCAAGTACATTATGTTCCACCACAACCATCCTTCTCTCTTGTACATCATGTTACACCACAACCATCTTCTCTCCTGTACATCATGTTACCACAACCATCCTCTCTCAAGTACATTGTTACACCACAACCATCCTTCTTCTCCCTGTACATCATGTTACACCACAACCATCCTTCTCTCTTGTACATCATGTTACACCACAACCATCCTCTGTCCACACAACATCATGTTCCACCACAACCATCTCTCTCCCTTACATCATGTTTTCACAACCAATCCCTCCTGTACATCATGTTGCATCACAACCATCCCTCTCCTGTACATCATGTTATCACCATCCCCTCTCCTGTACACACATGTTACACCTAACCATCCCTCTCTCCTGTACATCATGTTACACCACAACCACCCCCCTCTCCTGTACATCATGTTACATCACAACCATCCTTCTCTCAAGTACATTATGTTCCACCACAACCATCCTTTTCTCCTGTACATCATGTTACACCACAACCATCCTTCTCTCCTGTACATCATGTTACACCACAACCATCCTTCTCTCTTGTACATCATGTTACACCACAACCATCCTTCTCTCAAGTACATCATGTTACACCACAACCATCCTTCTCTCCTGTACATCATGTTACACCACAACCATCCCTCTCTTGTACATCATGTTACACCACAACCATCCCTCTCTCCTGTACATCATGTTACACCACAACCATCCTTCTCTCAAGTACATTATGTTCCACCACAACCATCCCTCTCTCCTGCACATCATGTTACACCACAACCATCCCTCTCCTGTACATCATGTTACACCACAACCATCCCTCTCTCCTGTACATCATGTTACACCACAACCATCCCTCTCTCCTGTACATCATGTTCCACCACAACCATCCCTCTCTCCTGTACATCATGTTACACCACAACCATCCCTCTCTTGTACATCATGTTACACCACAACCATCCCTCTCTCCTGTACAAGGTGAAGCGCAGAAGCGTTTACAGCGCCCAACAGGGAAGCATGCTAAGTTCATGCTTGCCTTTATGTCTTATGAGTTTAGGGCGTAGAAGCCTGAAGAGTCAATGGTTTATATCATCAAGTTATTGGAAGCTCCAACAACTCCCTGAATACGAATTCGCAACTTTCGACTTACAACAGGTACCTTTACTGCTAGGTGAACAGAGACTAATGGGGGCTATGAAGTATGTCCAAACAACTTTCACCGGCCCGGGAATCGAACCCGTGACATCTTGCTTGCGAGGCAAGAGCGATACCGCTTCATGTTTACTTGTTGACACGTGACGTCTGTTGACACTGGAGGTCAGGTGATGGTAAACAAGAGGGCGTGGTGTTGTCGGCACAGGTCTCCCTCTACTCCTGACAGAGGATGAGATTCACGTCAGTGGAGTATACAGTAGTGTGTGTGTGTGTGTGTGTGTGTGTGTGTGTGTGTGTGTGTGTGTGTGTGTGTGTGTGTGTGTGTGTGTGTGTGTGTGTGTGTGTGTGTGTGTGTGTGTGTGTGTGTGTGTGTGTGTGTGTGTGTGTGTGTGTGTGTGTGTGTGTGATTCCGTCAGTTTAGCTGTGACTCGGCTCATTATTTATTACGTAACGTCTCTCTCACTTAGTAATTGTATTATTATTATTCATACACACCGGCGCCACAAGAGAGTTAAGGCGGCCTTTTTTGAGACTTGATCCATGTGTGTTGTTGTTTTGGCTGTAACAATATAAAGAACCTGTGGACGATGTTGGGTTATGATATAATACTGGGCTTCAACAGCTATGGTCTTCAAGGGCCTATATGTTAGCTTAGTAAACACACAGGTTGTCAACAATTAACAGATAAGCCCAGCCCTCTGATTATGTTTGTTGAATGATAGTTAATTTAACTTCTACATGAATCAAATTTCTCTGGATGAGAGTCGGTGGTCACTCCCACTACAGTTATATTTCATAGGATAAGATATAATGTTTTATAATTTGGCCAGCCATTTGCTATCAGTAGGATTTACATATATCTGCTTTTGTGTCGACAGCAACATGAAAGAGTTCAGACAACGAGCAGAAGTGTCCATAATATATACAGTACTCTCAAGTAGCCTGGCTCTACGGAGTTGGGAGGCAGACGCTGTACAATATGAGTCTAAAACTAAATAAAAAAATCAGAGCAATCGGTCACTCATCTCCAAATATCAGCTTACTGCCTTAAAAAGTACCTGAGGTATCACCCGGACAAGGAAACGATAAAATAAATAAACAGATAAGCAAACAGGCAAAACCAAACTGAGCACCTCCTCCCCCCCCCCCAACCCACACCACACCACATGGTACCGGAATGAGGAAAGGAAGAAGGGGATGGGGAGGTTTCCAGTGGTGTACAATAACCTCGAGAGAAGTGCCGGGTCTGGATAGCCTAATCAGATAGTGTCAGAACGCTTACATGATGACCGACCCCCCGACAGGCATACATTAAAATAAATCAAGTTTCGATAGCGCATCAGTGAGTACAGTATGTGCGTGTGTTGCTAAGACCTAGTACCTGAACCTTCCTGGAGGAGTGAGCAGGTTGAGTCAGTACAGTACTGTACATTCACCCATGCAGGGTCTCGGCACACAAGGAGGTTCCTGCCATTAGATTTACACCTTAACCCCTTCAGTATGATGCATTTTTCCTGAGTACTATGAATCCGCCCATTGAGTCAAATATCTTTACCCCCGAGTACGACGACTTAACCCCCTAAGTACAATAACACTGTATTCATGAGATTAAGCCATCATACCCAAGGGGTTAACTGGAGCTGGGGAAAATGGATATAAATTTGCCCATGTAGGCAATGATGCGAAGTTGATTTGTCAAGGGTCCAAGGTTAAATTTTCTCGTCCTTCCTCTAAACTATTTGTTATTTCACATCTGACGCCTCAAAAACAGACTCCTTTAAAATCCCAGAATAACTTAAAACACAGACTCGCTTAAAACACTGAATCGCTTAAAACACCGATTAAAAGGGGGATTTTTAATGGTTCTTAACGCTGTGTACGGTAATTCATGTAACTGGAGGAGGTGTGGGAATGCTGCCTGGCTCACATAAAGCAGAGCAGCAAAACAAGATTTTCTTCGCAACTGGAGACTTGTTGACGCCTCCGAAAATCTCGTTTAACCATACTGTACAAAAATGGTGAGATAGAGAGAGAGGGGGGTGAGGTTGGGACACACAACTGTACACATCAGTTCATGCCCTGGTTAGATGTTGAATTTATCAGTGAAGGGTAATTATGTGTGTGCGTGTGTAGAGAACATTTGCTGTGTATTGAGGTAATTTGTGTGTGGAGAACACCTGCGATATATGGAGATAACCTGTTGTGTAGTTGCAGGTAATTTGGTTTATTGGGAATACATCTCATCTTGCGAACCCTTTAATAATCGGTTAGATGCGTTTTCACATCTCCACTTACACGAAGTCTTGAGAGACCGAAGGTGGGAAACCCAAGTGAGTTAATTAGCAAAAATCAACCCAGGGAAGTGCGGCTCATTACACATACACACTGAATCCGGTGTCCGTATAGAAACACTGGAGGTTAGGATTAGGATGAAGACTACATGAGTGACAGAAGTGCATGGCCACAGTTTTCGTGGGAGAAAAACGGAAACCATGCCTGTCTGTCCACTGGGGGAACCTGTTCAGTGACAAATGAAGGTTGAGCTCCGTCACGGATATCCTTGATACAGGTAGAGAAAGATAGACCACCCACGTAATGGTTGCTGGAACTATCAGGAGGATAAACGTCAACAGTGCCAATGATTGAAATGCCCAACAAGGTAACGCCGAACACTGATCAACTTTCTTTTTTTTCGGGCATTAGTCCGCCCGGGCACAGGTCATTTTTAATGACCCACATCAAAGCCTGGGGGGGAATATAATAAAACAATAATAATAATGATGATAATAATAATAAAATTAATAAAAAAAATAAATAACACTTAAAATAAAATATTAATAATACTAATAAATATATTTAAAAATAATTATAATAATAATAATAATAATAAAACTATAATTAAAATAAAAGAATTATGAAGAGTGAGAAACAATATATGTATGTTGTGTTGTCAAAGTAAGGGAAACAATTGAGACCCTGTAATTGTGTGTAAATGTGGCAGAAAGTCAGATGAGGAACCTGGGACCTGGTCACAATTTTCGTGATGCCATGTGGCAACAGGGTCTATCATTAGACAACGCATTATGCTTACATTACATGCTTACATTAGGACAGAACACATTATTTTCAACTTGGGTTTTTCAGAATTGGCACCTCATGTGGAAGAGGTGTGTGTGAGCCTGGCCTGTGTCACTCCACTGTATTAGGTATACCTGACACCACAGTCTACACGTGAAAAATTTTTGGCAGTATATGTCCGGAAAAAAAATCAGAATGTATATTATAATCATGTTTGATGGCGATGCGTCTGTATCAACTTCTACAAGACTACTGAGTACCACCCTGACATTGCCAAGACCCAAGCGGTGCTGTTTAATACAAGTTTGATCCCAACAGTCAAGCAAACGGAATTTCTCTCCAGTTCGTAAAAGACAAGTCTCACGACAGTGATCAGAGGCAAGTGTTAACAGAAAACATCAACACTGGCCAGGCAGAGAGGTGACCCACGCCGTCTAATTGCTGTCATTTTAATTTCACTGGTAAATTTAGGACCGGTAGTTGTAATGGACACAAGTACTGACATCCTGGTCACCCAAGCAGAGAAGTCTGGTGCAGTTAGTCGTCCTGGGTCATTGTGACCGACAATGGAAAGAAAAAAAATGGGGATGATATGGTAACCAAATGGACTGTGAAGAGCTACAGGAAGATCTCTTGTCAGCTTCAGGAGTGGTCAAAGGAATGGCTGTTAAGATTTAACCACGAAATGCAAGAGGATGCACCTAGGTTGTACCAACAGTAAGGAGACGTGTCACACGTCCCAGTGGGATGAAGAAACCGCATTAAAGGAGACCGAATGTGAAAAGGACCTGAGAGTGTATGTTGACAACGAACTGAAGTTATCGGTCCGTGCTCGTAACGTTCTTCAAAGGTGAGGTGGTTCCCTGTCTGGTCCCCGAGATATGCTAGACTGCCAGTTAATTGAAAATGTCCACCACACTTATGCTATAGGCGGGCACTAGGCGACTTGATTGAAGTTTATATCCAACTCAGAGAACAGTACTAAGTCGAGTATTCATACCATGAGTTGGCGGACGCCGCCCCAGTAGATGTAACAACCTAAGGTTGAAGAAGCCACAAGTTAAGAAAACTGTCAGAGCAAACTTTTTCTGAGTGTGAATTGTGAACTCGGGCGCAAGTGTACAGTAGATACATCCTGGAACCAGTACATGTCTAGTACTTGCCAACAGTGCGTAACTGAGACGTGACCGACCGCTTAAGCGGCAAAGGAGCTGATTAGTGGCGAGGGGCAGAAAAGTAAAAGTAAAAAGAGATTTTATCCGTGTTAAAGCTCCCTGAACCGATTATACTGGTATAATGGGAAAAGACGATTTTATTGAAGTATTTCTCATTATTATTACATTATTATTAATTATTCTTATTATTACATTATTATTATTACGTTATTATTATTATTATTATTATTATTACTGTTATTATCATCATTATCATCATCTTTCTCCTGCAGTTCTGTCTAAGGAGGAGGCCAGCGGTGTGAGGGAGGTGCTTCCTGGCCTACTGGACGCCCCCCTCTCCCACACACTCTCCCAGGTACGTCTTCCCTCCTTCATTGTTTCTACTTGTATTACCTTCATGCCTCCTACACCCGCACCTAACCTTAGTAATAGCGCACTTGCCTCTCATCACTGCTCCCGGTTCAGTCCACGGGTCGAATGTAAGAAGGGTGTTTTCTAGGAGTGTAGGACAAAAGCTCCCTAGGACAAGTGTAGGACAAAAGCTCCCTAGGACAAGTGTAGGACAAAAGCCCCAAGGACAAAAGCCCCCCAATACAAAAGCCCCCTAGGACAAAAGCCCCCTAGGACAAAAGCCCCCTAGGACAAAAGCCCCCTAGGACAAAAGCCACCCTGGGACAAAAGTCCCCCAGGTGAAATAATAAGAATTTTTAAAATAATTTAATTTTTTTTGCAATTTATGGACACTTCTCTAACGTAACCTAACCTTCGGGAATTCTACTATAGTTATAAAGAAGTATACAAGGAATGTTTATTAAATCTGCACTGACGTATGTTGTGTCTACTGGGGTAATTACTCCCCTGACATTCAGTGACCTCACTGGGCTCTAGGGTCACCTCAGTAAATACAGAATGAACATGAAGGTAAAATATGTCGTCTTTTTCTTTTCTATTTATTTAATAATGTTCTATATCAAAATTAAAAGAGTTATAATATTCTAATTATTTAAATTGTAATAATTTCATATTCAAATCTATATATTTTTAATATTTTTAATGACCCTCTCTTTAACATAAAAACAGGGAGCTTCTGTCCTATTTTGCACTTTTACTGAGGGGCTTTTGTCCGAGGGGCTTTTGTCCTCGGGGGCTTTTGTCCGGGCCCCGTTGTCTAATGTGGCCCATGGTGTGACCCTACCAAATTTAGCGGGTTCTCTCCAGGTCCACCGGTGTTCTTCTGTGCTAACATTGGAGAACAAAGTCATGAGAAACGAAGGAAGGATTAAGCAAGCTCCCGGCTTCCTTTACCACCAAAACTGTAAATTAAAAAAAAAATTAATATACCTCCCTCCCTCCCTTCACGTATTACAACGAACTATTAAGTTGTAAGTCACATCGACATTAACATTATTACAATTAGTATGATAAACAGCTGTATAATTAATATGCAACAATTTGACTTGAAACATACTATGTGCGGGCGTGCGTGCGTGCGTGTGAGTGTGTGCGGGCGCGTGCGTTCGTGTGAGTGTGTGCGGGCGCGTGCGTTCGTGTGAGTCGGTCGGTCGGTCAGTCAGTCAGGAAAATCGGCATATTTTGCGGCAACTGTGGACATCCTAGATTTCGAGTAGAAGTATTGATGAAAAATGATACTCATCCAAAAATAATAGTTATAGCTGGTATTTATAGAGGCGATGACACGAAATTTAAATCATAGAAAATTTTCTAACATCTCCGCAAACGTTAGTAGGAATAGCAAATATAAAATTGAAAGACGGGAATGTACGTAAACAACAGACATATAAACAATATTACAAAAAAATTATTATACATTTTATTACCTAGTTATGTGTGTTCATAATATTAATGGCAGCTGGGAGTTTACAAGCATAAAACAACACGCCTGTTAAGTTGGTCATCTGCGCGTCAAAATGCAAGTGAGTAAGTGAATTCTTTTCGGATCCTCGCACCTCACCAACCCCCTGACCCGACTTGCCATATTGTAAATATGGCATGAAAAAAATACACACTACAACAATGAAGAATGTTACCTAAAATAGGTAGTCAACATAAGTCTGGCTGAGATACAAATCGGTCATGTTAGAGTAAGAAAAAGTTACAGGATTCTTTTCAAAACAAGTTGAAATAATTCTCAGTAAATACACCAAATGATTTATTCTGCATATAAACACACTTGCTTTATCATAGCACAAACCGTACTTCCCATCTTGCTTAAATCCATCCCCAGATCTTGAACAAACGACAACAGATGAACAGGTATTTCAACCTCTGCTTGCTTCACATGCCATTCTTTACTCGCATCAACGAATCCGCAAAAAATAAAATAAAATAAAATACAAAATAAATAAATCTAACGATATGAAAAGATAAATATTTTGATATATTGTACTGCAACGTGATAGGAAATTTTAAAGTTAACAATTACTATTTTTAATTGTAATCTGTTACAGTACTCAAAATACGGTAACCAGGAATAATGGACCCGCATTAATTTCAGAAGATGAAGCCATTGTATTGTCTGGGGACCACTTGTCTCTGGGCCCCTGGATTCGCCACTGTAGCGGTCTGAATAAATGCTAAAAAAGCTGCTATTCCTTCTTCGCTCTAATACTGATTAATGTTATACATATACAGTAAGTAACGAGAAATAAACTTAGCATTAGTCAAGATCAAGGGGCACTGAGTGAAAGCCAGCCATTGCATTAAACCGTCTTTCTCTGAAAGAGGCAACATTGGTATATTAATTAGTCCAGTTCTGTGTGGTGACCGAGTTTTGCGAAAATACAGTATAATTTCTTTCCTTGTTGATCAAGTTTTAGCGACAGTATTCTTGGTGCTTGTGGTCTCAGCGTGGCCAGCACTTTCCTCGCGTGTTATATCACTATGTTGTGTTTGAAGCGCCAACTTGGAACATGTGTTAGCTAGACTTAGACCCGTGTTTGCTAGACCTGGACCTGTGTTTTCATATACAAGCGGTCGGTATGTTGTAGATAATGTTTGATTAAGTTTAGGTTAATCAAAGTTAGGCTGCATTAGGTTAGGTCAAGTTGGGTTTAATTGGGACTAAGATATGGTAGGTTAGGTTAGGTTGAGTTTTGTTAAGGGTAGAGTATAGGGTAAGTTAGGCTGGGTTATGTTAGGTTAGCCTGGGTTATATTAGGGAAGGTTAGATTAGGCTGGGTTATGTTAGGGTATAGGTTAGATGAGGCTGGGTTGTGTTAGGGTAGGTTATTTTAGGGTAAGTTAGATAGGCTTGGTTATGTTAGCGTAGGTTGGATTAGGCTGGGTTATGTTTGGGTTGGTTAGATTAGACTGGGTTATGTTAAGTTAGGTTAGGTTCCGGGATTAGTGACAAAAGCTGGGAGGGGGTAGACTGTCGGAATGCCTGGCACCTACTGTACGTATCCGCCTGGATGTGCTCGGAATTTAACATCTATTCGTTAAGCTTTAGTAAATTATTGCGATTGTATTGAGTACTGTGTAATTTGTGTTGCAGGCTATCGGGGGGTTCCTGTTGGTGGTAACCTCAACAGGGAAGGTAGCCTATGTCGCCCAAGCCATCGAGCACTTCTTTGGACACACGCAGGTAAACACTGTCATTGTTTACTGGTTCTCTGTTTTTAAGAGTCACGGTTAGATTGAAAGACTTTGGTCGCCAACCTTCTTCTTTTTTTGTGGGGAGTAGCCCACCCGTACACAGGTCATCGATCCACGACGGGGCCGTGGGTGGGGCGGAAAAAAAAATAAAAATTAGAGAAAATTATTATGTTAATCTCCCCCTCTCTCTCTCTCTCTCTCTGTGGTTTAACTGTCTTTTCATTATCCTTCATAAAAAACGTAGACCAATTTGTAGGTGACCATCTCGGGTCCTAGGTGAAATTGCTACACTTAGGTGGCGTCACACTGGCATTCTTTCGTCTTTTTTTTTGTCAACTTTCAGAAAAGCCTCCAACTTCTTGTGCACCGTCACACAGGCGTTTAGAACCAACTCGCCAGGTTCCCTCGTTCGACAACTGTCAACAAACTAGATGGATCCAACTGACGAAGAAAGCCCAGCAATTCTATTTTTTTTTTTATGAAGAGTCCTACTGATCCCAGAGACAGCGGCGCTGCATTGTCTGGTCCACCAAGAACTCCTAGGAGAGGCGTGTCCATACTTGGGAAATTATTTCATCTGTTGGCTCCGTCATGATGTTATTCCCGCGTGGTCAAAATGTAAACAACAAATTAAATTTTTTTACCTTTTTAAAATCACGAAAATAAACATAATAAGAGTAATCTTGGGAAGAAGAGTAATAATTAGCTTATAATTTTAGCGTTATATTTTAGGTATTTTTTTTTTTTAACTTCAGTGTTTGTAGTATCAATTATAGATCTGGAGTTGACTGGTAAGTTGTACGAGTTGTCCAACTTGTTGGTGCAGCCAACGACAACTCCGACAATTCGTGAAAAAAGTTGATAGTAGAAATACTGGTGTGATGGTGCATCTTCAATGGATTTTGTATTCAAGAATTAGCAAGTAAAATCTTGATAAATAATGCCATTAATAGACTGTCTCCACTGAAGTTATGATGTTATTACTGCACTTCAACATCTAGCTTTTAACGAGGTTCGTATAGTAATTACTAAATTAATCCATCAACAATTTACAATTCTGATATACAATTACCGTAGCGTACAGTTTACTGCAATGAAGTTTTGTGGCTACATTCAGTAGTCACCAGGGCGGGCGGGCGACAGATGGCAGCACGTGTTGGAATACTTCTCATTTGGATGTACTTCAATATTTTTATTTTATTTTAACCTGTACACTATATTGACTTGACAGTTTTATGTTCACGTACAATATGCATTAATATTTTGTGATAGTATTTGGATATTATGTCACTGTTTAACGCTTATAGAATACCACAGGAGAGAGTTTTTGAGAGGGTCGCAGCACCTACTTTCTAGCGCGACTGGTTGCTTTATTTATGCTGGTGATTACTGAATTATTGAAGTTTCATTACTCACTGGGTAGAGTGCTTAGTGGTTAGCCTTTACTCAAGTTAAATGGATAATTTTACTGATTTGAATTGGAAAATGCATAAAACCACGTGAACAGGTGCTAAATTAGTTGAGATTTTAAATTAGCACCAATAATTTCGATTTTAATTTTTAATCATCAACTTTTATCAGTATGTTTGGGAGAACATATAATGAAATTATTAACCAAGTAATTTTGTTTTTGAAATCACAAACACCAAAGCATTTAAGATTAGATAGATTGGCCCGATTATTTTTCTTGAATTTGAAGTAAACATGTAAAATGGTCCACTGTCTTTTTGTTTTGTTTTTTGTAAAATTCGTTAAAAACCAGTGTGTAAATTTGGAAAATATTGTTAAAACACCAAGGTAAAGTATCAGAGATCACTTTATTTTTATTAAATTTTTCAATAGATTATAAATTGTTTAAATAATGTCTGAAAACAACACAAAGCACCTACCGATATGGAGTACTGTAATTAGAATGCGAGTTTTTTGTAACTTGTTCAAGCGTTACTAATTAGTAGTGTTGACTTGAAGTATTTATTCTAGATTCTTCATGAGCCAGTTGTGAAACACTTGCACTGAGATTTGTAATAAAATCTAAGTAAAGATATTTCCAAAACCACAGGGTATTAAGGTCAGGTATTAGATTATTTTAAAATACTATTTGTCATAGAATTGAAACTTAGTGTGTGTAAATAATGACTGACGTTGTGTAATGTATGTGTGACAGGTTGACCTCCTGGGACACAGTGTGTACGGCATCATCCACCCAGAGGACCGCCTTATAATGGAGGAACAACTCTCCTCCATGGGTAAATCTTGTCTTTACTGTGCCTTAAAAAATATAAAATGGTTTTCTTGAAAGTAAATAAACTTGTTGCGTGTAGTGCTGATGATACTTCTAATGATCCTCCCTCATACTTCTAGCTCACACCTTACTGAATGATCCTGCCTCATACTTCTAGCTCACACCTTACTGAATGATCCTACCTCATACTTCTAGCTCACACCTTACTGAATGATCCTACCTCATACTTCTAGCTCACACCTTACTGAATGACCCTACCTCATACTTCTAGCTCACGCCTTACTGAATGATCCTACCTCATACTTCTAGCTCACACCTTACTGAATGATCCTCCCTCATACTTCTAGCTCACACCTTACTGAATGATCCTACCTCATACTTCTAGCTCACACCTTACTGAATGATCCTACCTCATACTTCTAGCTCACACCTTACTGAATGATCCTACCTCATACTTCTAGCTCACACCTTACTGAATGATCCTACCTCATACTTCATACTTCTAGCTCACACCTTACTGAATGATCCTACCTCAGCTACCTTACTGAATAGCTTCTAGCTCACGCCTTACTGAATGATCCTACCTCATACTTCTAGCTCACACCTTACTGAATGATCCTACCTCATACTTCTAGCTCACACCTTACTGAATGAATCCTATCCTACCTTCTAGCTCACACCTTACTGAATGATCCTACCTCATACACCTTACTGAATGATCCTACCTCACACTTCTAGCCCACACCTTACTGAATGATCCTACCTCATACTTCTAGCTCACACCTTACTGAATGATCCTACCTCATACTTCTAGCTCACACCTTACTGAATGATCCTACCTCACACTTCTAACCCACACCTTACTGAATGATCCTCCCTCATACTTCTAGCTCACACCTTACTGAATGATCCTACCTCATACTTCTAGCTCACGCCTTACTGAATGATCCTACCTCATACTTCTAGCTCACACCTTACTGAATGATCCTACCTCATACTTCTAGCTCACACCTTACTGAATGATCCTACCTCATACTTCTAGCTCACACCTTACTGAATGATCCCGCCTCATACTTCTAACCCACACCTCAGTAACAACATAACATTCTACTAATGCCTATTTTTGTTACAGGTAGTTCACGGCGGTCGTTTTTCTGCCGCATGACAGAGAAAGTTGCGTCCAAGGGTGACCCTTGTCGTTATGAGATCATCCATGTAGTAGGCAGCTTCCGACCACTACCTCATCCCACGCCCACAAAACCCACGTCAGCACACACACCTTCGCCCACAACTGTACCCTCCAGGGACTTAGGAGGTTAGTAATGTGCCACTGGGGAATCAAGAGTTTGGCACCCAGTTCTTTGACTGTCAATGCTGATGTACCTTCATATTGGGGTACCTGTACTGGTTCCACAAAGAACTGGAATCTCATTTATGGTTTACTTTTTACCATCCAGATTTTTTTTATATTGACTATTGTTCACAAGTATGTAGCTGTGTACTGTAGCATGCTTTTCTTCTTCCTGAGTGTGAAGTACCGTCGAAAAACATCTCTTGTGATGCATGTTGCAAGGACACCGTTAGAGGTCTTGAACAAAAACAGTTACTCATACACCACTCCCAGAATCCCCTGGCTTTAAAGCATCTTAGCCATGATACTTTATCTATTCGCTGGCAAGCTAATAGAAAAACCTACATAACTGATAGCTGATTTATTTACTTTTTGTTTGGAGGTCGAGCACTTCTGCTGTAAGTTTAATGTCAGTTTCAAGGCACAATAATGCCCTTGGCCACCTTGTGCACCTAAATGGCTTGCAACCTAATATTACATTTACCTGACATCCACCACAGCTGGAGGTGACCGTGACGGGGAAGGAAGCTGATGATCCATATAGGATCCTCCCCATTGTTTATGATGGTCTTGTCCAGAGCTATTTTGGAGTCCAGCATTTTTCGTGCTTCCAAGGGCTCAGCTGGTAAATTGTTCCATAGATCTACCACCCTCTACATGTGATCTCTTGTACAGCATTTGTATTTGACATTTCAACAAAAATGATCCAGGTTTACGTCTTCCATTCCTTTAAAGATTTTTAATGTCTCTGTGAGGTTTATCCTGTCGTGTCTTGTCTGAAGAGTTGACACTTTAAAGGCCCTCATGAATGCCGCCTTCCACCACTCTTAATTCAACCAATGGTTCAGGGTGTGATAACATTTAAAATGAATTGTTTGAGGTGGATTTTAATTCATTTGCTTGAAGCTTCTTAAGAGCCCAACAAGCCATCAGTTTTGATGTTCTGGCACCAGTAAAACATCCTCCATGCCTACTTCTTCTCATGCAAAAAACAACAGAAAGCAGTGGTGAGTAGAGTATACTCCGTAGTACCATGTTGAGCAACACTGGGTTAGTACTTGGATGGGTGGTTGCCTGGCCCTAAGAACACCAGTCCAGATGCTGCTGGCAGACTGGCATAGGGACTCTACTGGAAACCAGTCTCTCCTGGTTTGGCAGCTGTCTTTGGTCAAATTGGTGAGATATCAATTAATTAATTATTATTATTATTTATAAAGTTTGTTCAGTAACATTTACAGCATTAAGTTATTAATTGCTTTAAGTGTATACAGTACTGTACAAGAAAATTTACCATAATATGGTGCAGATTTATCATCGAAAAGAAGGACTTTAACTAATGGCTGGGAGCGTCACCCTTCTTTTACGAAGACAACCTATCTTTGTACAGTTTGCTTTTTGCTAGCCTTTTTTTTAGGAACACAGCCCCTGATATAAATGAGGTTAACCTGTATGATGTGGTCTGTTAGCTTTTGCTGATACCATTTGGGTCTCATCTGTGACCATGACATTGGTTTTTTTTTTTGATGACAAAAGGTTAATCATTACTCCTGAACAATTCTGTATAAATGTGTTGTTACTGAAATTGGTCTATTATTTTTAAACATGTGAATTATATACAGCATGGTATGTGAATACATATATTCCTATAAATTGTGTGTAGATACAAATATGATGGAAGAAGGTTGAGTACAGGAAGATTAAAATGGAAGTAAAGAGATTGGTAACAGAATGCAAGGGAAGTGATGATAAAAATAGGTTAAAAATTGCCACAAGGTTTCAAAGACAACCTTAAGAGCTGTTCTGGAAGGGAACTAACCATAGTGAGAAAACCATGAAAAAAAAAAGGAATTGTTAGTAAATACACAAAGAAGAGAGATAGTGGAGAAAAAAGAGGAAAAGGGAGATGGGGAGAATGTTTTAAACAGTAAATAATACGGGAGGAAGTGAAACTACCGGTAATTGTAAACAAACTCAAGATTGTTAAACATCGGAAGTGGATGGAATCTCCATTAAAACACTGTATTAAGGATAGGGTTGGAATTGTGACCTTTCTCTTCTTTTTTTTTACCACCATCGTTTCCACCACTTGTCAGCTTACTAGCCAGTCAGGCAGTCGATCTGTTCTGTTACACACATCTGTTTTATGTTACACTCTTCATTGTCCAGTGTTAGTACAGGAGGAAACTGGAGTACCGGAGAAAACCTGCGATGTCTGGGAATTGGACCTGGGACGCAGTGGTGAGGGACAAACATACTACCGCTGTACTACCAACATGTAATTGATAACAACCGTGTGCAGGCTTTGTATGACAGGGAAAGGTAATGAATGTAGAAATTATAGATGTCTATGTATGTACTGTGCTGTAGTATATGCATACTTACATAAACACTGAATCTGTCACAAGAACATTTGCCTCGAGTATTTACAGCCATCTGCTCCACAATGTGATGCAGACTACACCTGTCACCCCTTGTGTTTCCTTGACAAATGATGACAACAGTGACCATCACTCCTCAACAGATAGTGGCAGAAAGACCAGCTGTGACTCAGACTTAGAGGATGCAGAGGTAATGCAGGTGGTCCAGAGGTCTGGGACACACATGCTGGTGTGTTTTGTGAGGGTGGTGAAGGATAGACCCATCAATGAGCTCTCCCTAGTGGAGTCCACACAGGACGAATACATCACACGTCACACAATGGATGGCAAGATCCTCTACACTGACCACAGGTTAGTGTCGACTCACACACCACAGAACTTAGGTCCATGTCTCAAATCTATCTATGTAGCCATTATATTTACCTCTCTGCCTCTTCCACATTTGTGTAGGATGGAACAAAGAACACAGAAACCTCAAGAAAGGGGAGCAACAGTAAGGGGAGAGGGATACAAGACAAGCACAGCAAAAAGTTGGAACATTATAACCTCGGCTTGTTTTTTTATATACATTATACTATATTTGGGTTATGTGTATCATATAAAGTGTGCGGTACAGTATAATTTTAGGTGAAGTTTATTGAAAACTTTTGTTGTTGTGGCACTTTACTATTACGTGGAGTAACTGTAATAATATAACGTGAACCATATTGTGTATCATTTAACTTATGATTATGAGAATGTCATTTGCTACTTCAAACACTTTTACAAGTACAGTACTGTGTTATGAAAAGTGGACTGTCTTATCATGATTAATTTACATTTCCTTTGAACAGTTTTTATATTATTACATTCCAGAATATCAGTTGTGATTTGGGCAGACATGTGTTTCTTTGTGGTAATTTTTCTCCCTTCACTTTGCAGAATATCTTTTGTGACGGGATTAATGCCAGGTGAGGTAATGGGTACATCAGCTTTCCAATACATGCACCCTGAGGACATGATGTGGTCTATTGTGGCCCATAAACTTAGTGAGTATTGTATTGTACTGTACAGCCTGTGTTCTTCCCTTCGCCATGTGAATGTTCAATGTCTAAGTTTAATATGCTGTGTCACCCTGCTCGTATGATTCTCTTCCATTCATTTTTTGGTGTAATAAGATGAATATCATGTACTAATTTTGATAAACAATACCTGAAAATTTATATTGTATTATAGTATAGTATAGCAGTAACCATCATTTAATAAGTATTTGGATTCATTTCATAATCATCTGGCAGAATCTTTTAGGCTTTTGGGATTGTTTCATACATAAGAAAGTACATTACCGGGCAAGTTATTTTGGATGATTTTTGCTGTTATGGTTGTAAGGCTTTATTATTATTATTTTTTTTTTCTTCATTTTTTTATAATGTTTTTTTATTGGAAGGGTACGGGATTTGGGCAAGTAGCCTAGCATCGATTGGAGATTTTCTGCATGACCATAAACAGTGTGTGATGATAAATGGTACAAAATAGTCATGTGTACTTGTGACAAGTGGGGTACTACAGGGCAGTGTATTGAGCCCATTGTTGTTTGTTTGCTTCATAAATGATATGCCAGAAGCTATACTCTTCTCCATACAAATGTTTGCAGATGATGCCAAGTTATTTAGTGAAATTAAGAACTAAACAGACTGTGAAGAGCTACAGAAGGATCTTTGTGAGGTTCAAGAATGGTCGAAGAAATGGCTAAGATTCAATGTCACAAAGTGCATCTGGGTCACACCAACAGTAAGGAGGCGTATCACATGTCCCAACAGGACAAAGAAACTGCATTAATTGAGACAGAATGTGAAAAGGACCTGGGTGTGTATGTCGACAATGAACTTAAGTTCTCGGGCCATTGTGAGAACGTGAATCAGGTAACGAAATTAGTAGGTCTTATAAGAATATCGTTAAGATATCTGGATGGTCCGTCACTTGTTACGATCTTCAAGATTGAGGTGCTTCCCCATCTCGAGTACTGTACTGTCACCCCATCTGGTCCCCAAGGAATGCTAGGGACTGTCAATTGATTGAAAATGTCCAAAGGAAGGCCACCAGACTGTCATCTGCTCTATGGAACCTCAGTTACCCAGAGAGATTAGAATGCCTGCAACTACCTAGCTTATACTACAGACAGGCATGGGGTGACCTAATCAAAGTGTATAAACATCTCGGGGGGGGCAATACTCGGTCGAATGTATATAACTGGAGCTGGTGGACGTCTGCTCCACAAGGGATTGCAGCTCAAGGTTGAAGAAGCTACAAGTCCAGAAAACTGTAAGGTCAAACTTTTTTGGAATGAAAATTGTGAACTTTTGGAACAATCTGCTGGAGAGCGTTGTGACTGCATCTAGTGGGAATTCATTCAAGACCAGACTTGATCAATACTGGAGCAGGTTCCGATATAATCAGGAGCCAGTGCCTGCTCAGTACTTGCCAAGAGTGCATAACAGAGACATGACCAACCGCCCAAGCAGCTAACGAGCCGATCTGTGGTGAAGAGGATAAAAGTAAAAATAATCTTATTATTATATTCACCTGTATTACTATTTGTGCTCATATTATGCAATCATGGGCATAACAAATTTATTTATTTTTTACTTTCTTCGGTTCAGTATATAATGCACAATTCCTTTAGCACTGTGAGATTGTGAGATGGAGTATCATCGTACGATATGTTTTCCCATGTGTGGTGGTGGGGGTTTGCCTGTGGCAGCGCCGGGTTGCCATTCACTGTCTGACACTGCAAGAGTAAAGTCTCCAAAGAACCTGGTCTATTATTCAAACCTCTCACATGGCGCAGTGAGTAGGATGCCAGGGCCCGACACGCCATAACAGCCCTGACGAGGGGCCAACGTGTCCACGATTCTCGATGCCCTTAAGGGGATGCCAGGGCATCTATGCACTGGCGGGGAACACCAAGCGCGCTCAGCAGCAAACCATGAGTGCATTGAAGGCTCAGATGGCATCTCTGGCTACTGGGGAACACAGTCATGCCCCTAAGCTGGCCATGAAGTCCTCAGCAGCGGTCGCTCCAGAGAAGTGTGAGGCAGAAATGCCAGCCCTTATCTTGCTGGCTCTAAGGTCTTGCCTAGCATAGATAACCACACCCCTCTCGCAAGTTTCTTGGGAAAGGTTCAGAAATGAGTCATATCCGTCAATACTGAACTCACATTCCTCCAGTTCGATTCTCCTGTTTTTGTACAACAGTTCTACAACACTTACTATATTGGGTTGATGTACCTTCACTAGTGTTTCAAACTCCACTCTCGTCAAGGAACAGGTCAGCATTAGTGTACAGTACATGACTTTCAAGCTGGCAATTGTTCTCGGTAATGTCTCTGGTCTTGGTATTCACTCTGGCCCCCCCCTCCATTCTCTGCAGCTGCTTCGTTTAATATCTGTATATCCTTTGTGTTTAGTGGAGTATGGTCAGAGATGACATTGTTTACATGGTGCTCGCCTCCTCCTAGATGGCAGGTAGAGTGGATAGGGAGTGTCCCTTGGTTCTGAACTGGTGCCCTTGCCTCCACTACCTTCCCCTTGTATATAGCCCATGTACACTCGCATCAAAAAGTATCGGTGCAGGGTGAGATCGACGACTTCCGAAATGATACGTATACACTGTGATATGTCAGGAAGGTTGGTAAGTGTATCCTCATAACCCCCCCCACTAGGTGTTGCCATATGGCTGACAATCAGTGTGTTTGTTTCCTTTTTTCGGATTGTTGCTTTGTGTCGACTGAATGATGAGCGAGGGTTCGGTCTCGGTGAACGTAGGTATAAAACAGAGGCAATATGAAGCAGTAGAGATCTACACATGCCAGACAACATGGAAACCTCAGAGGGAACACGAAGAGCTATTATTGCCTTTCATAACGAAGGGTTCGGCGTCACAGATATTAGCCGGCGGGTTGGTGTTCACAGGAACACCGCTGCATGATGGATTCGGCGATACCTTGAAACTGGTGCTACAGACGACAGGTCTCGGAGCGGCCGTCCACGCTGCACCACCCCTCAGGACGACCAGGTTGAGTGGTTTATTTGGTAGCATAAATTAATGTGGCAATATTCACAAATATCACAAATAATTTTGTTAACAGGGAGCTCCTCATATTTCATACTGTCTATTTATCACTTCCCGATCTTATTTATAACGGTTTGTTTCACTTGACCAGGGCTGCCAACATACGGCTGGAACAACTAGCCTTTCCCAATACCTATCGTCACTGGTATCAATTGTTCACACTACAGTATGCACCGATACTTTTTGTTGCGAGTGTACGTCCGTCCCCATTCCTCATTGACACCTCCCGCCTCTGCTTCAAGGACTCCAGGAGTTTTTGTGCTGTTCCCTCCGCATTACCGTGCGATCTGGGTTTATGAATATACCCCAAAATGTATCTCTCCTTGCTAAGTTTTTTGCATGCTTAATAACTTCCAATTTCTTACTCTCACTCACTAGTGTAGTGTGATCCTGAGAGGGCGGGGCTTGTCCTCCTGTTTTTGTCCTAGCCTCCTTACTTTTACTTTTATCCTCTTCACCACTGATCGGCTCGTTAGCTGCTTGGGCGATCGGTCACGTCTCTGTCACACACTGTTGGCAAGTACTAGTCATGTACTGGCTCTCTGTTATGCACTGTTGGCAGGTACTGGGCATGCACTGGCTCCTGAATGTACCTGAACCTGCTCCAGTGTTGGTCAAGTCTGGTCTTGAAAGAACATACACTCGGTGCTGTCACAACACTTTCTGGCAGATTGTTCCAAGAGTTCACAACTCTCACTCCGAAAAGTTTGCCCTCACAGTTTTCTGGACTTGCGCCTTCTTCAATCTTGAGCTGTGACCCCTTGTGGGAGCTCATAAATTCAAAGCCTCATCACAAATATTCTGAAATTTCAGCTTGTGCATTTTTCTAGTTTCAGCTTCCTTTGACTGGCTCTCAGGAACCTATTACAATTTACACTACACACAAAGATAGATGAAGCCTTCAACATACAGTATACTTAATTCATCTTGAATGCTTCATCTCATGGTAGGTATATCGGACTAATGGCTACTCATACAGGTTACATCGTAACTTTAGATTTACATTACAGATAGCATAATATGAATAAGTGTGGGTGAAAATAATAGCTGTGCAATTGTGAACATGAAACTGGTGTGTTCATGCACAGTATACTTGCTTCTTAATGATGCTATTAAGTTATGGGGGATATTTCTCTGGAGAGTTTGTGTGTGCAGCTACTAATGTTAGGCCCATGGATGATGTAGTAATATAATTGGGTGCACGTATACTGTAGAGGTGTAAACTGTCTGGTCGCCTCAAGTGATCTGGTATGTTCTGCAGCATTTTTTCATGGCACACCACTGCCCATTTCCCATAATTATATATATACAGTATAAGAATTTAACTGTTAACATTTAGTTTTGTTACTCCATGACTTACAGATTTAGAATGAACAATTTAATAAAAAGTCTTCTATCATCATTCATTTATACAAGATTTTCAGTAATACTTAATAATTTTCATTACATTTACCGGTAAGGCAAATATGATTGTTGTTGTGGTCATTGTAAGAGTATTGTGATTCTTTAGTTTTGTTGAAAGTAAATGAGCCCCATTCCTAATAGTCCCCAACATAATCTAACCCATTACAAAATGCAAGAGGGTGCATTAAGGTCATGCCCACAGTAAGGAGGCTTACCAGATGTCCAAATGTGATGAGGAAGTGCCAGTGACCGAAACCAAATGTGAAAAGAATCTGGGTTTGTAGGTTGAAGTTCTCAGATCATTGTGAGAAGAATGCAAATCATGCAAATAAGTCACTAGGGTTTTTACGAAGATTGTACACACACCTAGATGATTTGTCCCTCGTAAGGCTTCAAAAGTGTGGTGCTCCCCTACTTGGAGTATTGTACTGTACTGACATTTTGTCTTGTCCCTGAGATATGATAAAGAATTGCCAGATGATTGAGAATGTCCAAAAGAGGACCACTAAGCTGGTGCCTGCACTTCAACACCCCTCATACCAAGAGAAATCTGAATTCCTTCAGTTGCCAAGTACAGAATAGTGTCAGTTTTTTTAGTTTTTTTTATCAAGAGATGTGAACTTGTGGAATAACCTTACAGAATTTAAGACCAGACTTGACCAACACTGGCACTTGTTTAGATACATTCTAGAAAATCTAGAGCCAGTGCATGCCCAGTACTTGTCAATAATGCCCAACAGAGAAATGATAGACTGCCTGATCGGGTACAGATCCCTCCATTGGTGAAGAGGTTAAAGTAAAGTCTAGTACTGTATTGGGATCCATCAGTATTATAACCCATCAGAATAAGATTTTTTGGACTGGGGCCCATTAAGACTGGGCCCTAATCCTGATGGTTGGTGTTGGTAAAGCTAGGGTGGGGCCAGTTAGGACTGGGGCTCATTTATCCAGTCACCTTTAATTTCACAGGACATAAGTTAACTCCACTACCAGTAAACAATACTCAGCATTGTCTTACACAGTGCTTTGTCGGCAGTGTTCACAAGCAGTCAAGGACAAGGTGTGGTATCCTACAGGCTGAGGTGTAAGGATGGTACCCATGTCACCCTCAGGTCACGTGGGTATATTGAAATGAACAAACAGACTGGACAAGTGGACACTTTTGTTTGTATCAACACAGTGGTCAGGTAAGGTTACTGTTTCACTGCAGCAGTAGGTTGTTTGTAATGGTTACCCGGAAAGGAGGATTGTGCTCATTGGGTTTTTATTCTCACCAGGGAAGTCTTTAAAGGTTTAAATACATTTGGCTTCTTTATCAGGATATCTGATAGTTGTGCCCCCGTTAGTGAGTGTTGGGAATGTTACATTGTTAAATATGGTAGTCGACCCCCATTTTTATATCAGAATTGTAATAAAATTTGGCAGAGCTGTTGTTTGTAGACTGAAGAAATACATGTGATTTTATTTCTCATTTACATAATTTTTTGTAGAAAAACATTGTGTAGTGAACATTGGATTAAGTATGTAATTTTGACTGTCCTTTTTACCATAAATAACTCATATTATCTTGTATTCACAGGCAAAGAAGATTTAACCCTCTGATTGTTCAGGGTTCCCATAGTTAAATAAAATTGTCTGGTATTAGCCAGTCATTCAGCTTTCATAGAGTTAATAACTTGACTCAGTAGAAAGTAATAATTTGAAGTTGCATAGTTTGAATTTTCAAATAATGATTGATTATTCATAAATTTTCAGTGTTAAAGAAGCAAAGGGTGAAATCAGAAATCAGAGACAAAAACTCCTTCCGCTGATCATCAACAAGCAAGGCAAAGATCACCTCTCATCACTCGCAGCCTTGGTAAGTTGTTCTCACTCAGTCTCTATCACTTATATAGTGGGGTATGCTATAACGAACGGATCCTACTACGAATATTCCTATAACGAACGGTTTTACCTATAAAATTGAGAATGCTATAACGAACGAAACTCCTACAACGAACATTATTTAATTATTTTTTTTTGCTAATTTATTGTTTTTTTATTACAAGTATTAATGATATTCTTTATTTCAGGGGTTTAGATGCATATTTATGCACTTTTTTACAATTTTATATTATATTTTTCAGTGTTAAGTGGTTGTATTTGGGGGCCTGGAACGGATTAATCCTATAACGAACGAATGCTATAACGAACAAGGTTCTAGAACCAATTAGATTCGTTATAGCATACCCCACTGTACATGTTTTATCAGTCAACCGTTTGGCATTTTTCTGTTGAATATACAGTACATTCTAATGTCCTTATTAACAATATCTGTTTTTTCTCATGCTTGCTTTCTGTGGTGCCTTTCCCCAACCTATCATGGTTTCCCTCCACCTGTCAGTCTGTCTCATCTTTTTATAAATTTTCCTGCCCACAGGTGGTGCATATTCCCAGTTTGAGGGCTTCACCTAAGAGGTGTAGGGGGATGACCTTAATTCGTATGTGTGTAAAAATCACATGTTTCATAAGAGTGCTCTACTACATATTACTAGTACTGTACTATACATGTGTTAAGTAAAATTAAGAAGACCTATGGCTTTTATTTATAAAAGCTAGATTAGTTTTTTATTTAAAATAGTGAAATATGTACTATGGTATTATTGCTTACATTGGACACTAGCAATCCTGGTAGGCAGCAGCTAGATCCCACCAATTGTTGTAGTTGCAGTGACAGTGATTAGTTTACACAATTTTTCCAGAGAATTCATAAATGTTAGAATTCATCGGAATTTACCATAATGAGCCATATGAAAAACAGAGAATAAAATTTACAGTGAAAGAGCACAAAAATATAGCAGCTTTTCTTATACGGTGAATGTGCTCTTCTGAAATCTGAGAGCATACTGAACTTTGCACAATGTGAAGGGAAAAAGCAGAGTCTGCACAATATCTCGAGTACATTTTATACATCAAGGTTGCAAGGCTATGCACACCTACTCAAGTGTGACCTGACATCTGATATAACTCTTAACATTATGATTTACAATCTGAAGTATTTTTTCCTAGCCTTGAATATTTTATAAACATTTATGCAAAGCACTCTGCTTTTATGAGGCCTAACATTTTATTTTTAATAATTGAGTAATTTTTTTTTAAGATGTGAATAACCGTTGTTTCATGTTGTTTATGATACTGGTTAAAAATTGACCATGATTGATTGAAACAATCTTGTTATCTGTCAGTGTCACTGATGCAAACTTCATTTTCTTAATGGCATTTTCTGCTTCTAAGATTTTTTTACCCTTGCGTTCCTTCATTGCTTCTAAAATCGTATGCTGCGACGAATTAACTTGTCTATAGTAATATCCCTTTTCTGTAAGGACTCAGAAAGAAGAGATAATTCAAATAATACATCGTACATAAGTGCCAGATCAAGGAGAAACTGTTTTGATGAAATGCGTTTATGAAGCCCCCTGAAGGTACACTGGTCAACTTTTGATCAATTTTTATCAGTGCCACTGCCAACATGCTCAAAATGATAACACAGATATGCAAAGTCATTCCAAACTGCTGAGACAGTTCTGAAGGAGCTTGAAACCCATCTAGTTCCTAACACTCTTCCAATATTTTTCTTCTGTTGAGCAAGCTTCGCTGCACACTGTTGAATTTCTCTTTGGTTCTTAGGAGATTGACTGTATAAAGAGTAGAGTTTATCCATAAATGAACGAAAATGATTAACACCATGTACTTCAGAAATTGTATCTGCGACTGACAATTCCAAGAGATGATTTAAGCAATGCCATACTATAATATTAGGGTACTTCTACAACAGTCGTTGAGCCACACCAGAGTTTTTCCCCAACATTACACTGGCACCATCACTGGTAAAAGCAATAAGATTGTCCTGAAGATAATCATGATCAAACCCATGCTCAGCAAGACAAGTAAGTAAGTGTTCGCTTATTGTTTTTGCTGTTGTATCAGGTAATTCTAGCAAATCCAGGGAAATAAAATGTGGATCATCCGACTTGTTCGTTTCACATTTCAAATAGACTATCAAAGTAGTTTTGCTACTATGAGTGGTGGACTCGTCTATTAGAATGGTTATTTTTCCTTTTATTTCAAGGATGTGTTTGCTGACTCTTGATCTCATTTCTTGTGCAATATGGTCAATTATATTTGTAGCACTAATTCGTGAACGCATTCCTTGTGGAATGTCTGTTCCATTTAATTCTTGCAATTGCAACAAATCAAAATAGTCAGTATATGGTTTATCATATTTGGCTATATAATATGCAGTTCTAAATATTTTGCAGGTAACCTCTACTTCAGATTTATTTAAATGGTACACGATAGTTTCAACTTGTTTCCTTGCACTCTGGAGAATTTTAACAGCACTGATGTGTGACTGCGACTTTGAATGAAGCAAAAATTTTTTTCTCAAGGATGATAGTTGGACTGATCTTGTGCTGCCATTGAAAGAAACTGAAACTGAACACCACTCTTTGGAAACACTAGCACCCTGTGATTTAAATGGGCCTAGATTTGTCACACTAGAGCATGCTGCACATCCGATTTTTCCGGAATCACTTCTTATCTTCCCACATCTCAGCAGTCCAAATTTCAGGCCATGCAGACTTAATTATATGTTGTCCTGGCAGTGTTACTTCACTGGAATATGACACACCGCTAAAAGTAGTAGCTTGTGTTATTACTTTTCCTCACTCAATATCACTTGTGGAATCACTTGCACAAGTTGCACTTTCTTCTGTGTGTTCTATTAATTTTTTTTTTTTTGTGCATGGATGCTTGTTTACGTTTTTCACTCATTTTTGAGGGTACAACGTTTGATTAAATAAAGATTTTTGGAAATTTTGGGTAAACCACCAAAGCCTACATCACTCGCATTGAGCTTCGGTTCTCAGAACGCCACTATGTAATTTCACCAGTTCTGTTAACATATACAATGGTACAATAATAGTCTTCTAGACTTCCACCAGTGTCAAGACAAGTGCGTGCATTTTCTAGGTGACTTGGTGAGCAACTAAACTGGCATTCCTACTCAGCACTGCAGGTCTACAGCAGTGTCAGCACATTGCGCTGAGCAATGCTGAGTATGCCAGATTTTTTGGAATGCACATTATTTTAAATACTGTATTTACAAATATTTCTGCTGCTTATTAAGAGAATATATTATAAAAAAAGAATTAGAATAAATTAACACAAAAATATATAACAGACAAACTAAAATAAGACAACCTATTTTTAATTTTTTACCAGATTTAAGGTATTTGGCAACCAAGAACACTAATGTCCAAGTGAGGGGAGCGGCCGCCGGCCTGTAAGAAATGGGAAGAAGGGGCTATTATTTTTGTGAGTTTTTAATAATTAAGTAATGCGACGATGCCGCAAAATCACAATGCCTCAAAGTTTATAGGCTAGCATTACCTCAGTTGAAGCAAAAAGAATTGAAAAAGTTAATGATTCTTTCTTATATTTCTTTTAGGGGTGGAAATAAAAAATTTCATTTCATTAGAAAATTTTACGTTTAGATTTATTTGAAATAGTGAGGGAACGCCGTTCCCCTTCCCAAACAAAGTAAGGGAACACCGTTCCCACGCGTTCCCACAGCTCTACACCACTGGCTTCCGGCTTATTCACCCTTGAGCTGTGACCCCTTGTAGGGCGAGTGTCCGCTATCTCCAGGTAAGGGCACTCAACTGAGTAGTGCCCTTTGAGAAGCTTGTACACCTCAATTAGGTCTCCCCTTGCCCATCTGTAGTATAAGCTAGGTAATTTCAGGTGCTCTAATCTCTCAGGGTAGCTGAGGTGCCACAGTGCAGGCACTAGTCTGGTGGCCCTCCTTTGGATATTTTCAATCGACTGACAGTCCCTAGCATATCTGGGGGACCAGACGGGATATCGGTGGTGTCAATTTTGTTCTAATCCCCGCATAATACTAGCTTGGCACATGGGTACCTAACTAAGGTGGTGAGTGTCTCTTGTGGGTGAGTGTGGTATGCCACACAGTATATGATATAAGCAGTGTGGGGCCCGTGGCATGACCCGTACCCATAATGCCTCCACATCAGCTGGGACTTGAACCTGCAGGCGTGACAGGTGTGTAGTTCATCTTGACAGAAAAGGGCAATGCCCCCTTGACGTCCATGTGAACAGAGGTAATGAAAGAGTTGATATCCCTTAATATGGTACGTTTCAGATCATATCACATTCTTGGAACTTCATTGTAATGATACGGTCTGTCAGGAGTAGGTTTCTCTGGTTTTCTAGTGGAGGTTATGGTCCTACTGGGCTTTTGTTTATGACGTCCTTGTCTATGGCTGCGAGCATGGAATTTGTTCAGGGACTTCAGTCGCGCCATAACACTGCCATCGGGATAACTGTTCCCATGCTTTAGAACAGCGGTTCCCAACCTCAGGTCACGATCCATATCAGGGTCGCGGGGTGTCCTCAGTAGGGTCGAGAGGGGCCTTCAGACAATTAAAAAAAATATAGTACTTATCATAGTCAAACAAATTTTTGCTTAACATTCAAGCTATGTAATATATTATATGCCTGAGGGTCACGACACTGTATTGTTGGGAAATTTAGGGTCGCAGCCAAAAAAGGTTGGGAACCACTGCTTTAGAAGGTACAGGGAGCGTCTGGAATAAGTAATTGATGGGCATCTGTTGATATCTGTTGTTGTGGACAGATGGAAGTGTTTGTCCACAGTGGCCATAAACTCACTGGCAGTGCTTTGAGGGCCACTGACATTGGTAGACATCTGTTAATATTTGTCTAGTCATAAACACCGCGAATCCTTGTCTCCGGCACTTAAGGGTCGCCGACACAGTACCCACGGTATATGTGAACACCGTGTGTATGTGCCACTCGGTGAGCTGTACTGCATGGCTGACTCACCCGCCTCCCCCCTTCCCATGTGACGTCACGGCACACACGTCTCGGTCAACTGGTTGATTGCCTGGCTAAACTGTGGTGTCACTTGGATGATGGTTTGAGTGTGGAAGGAGCCATTTTTTGTATGTAAATTATGTGCTATTGTATGTTATGATTTCCTATGTATCAGTTTTATTGTTTATCACAGCAATTTTTTTAAAAAGCGGTTAGCGCTTCAGGTGTCAGAGACACGAATAAATGACTTCAGTTGGATTAAATTGGAAATTATACCAAAGGGGACAAAGTTGGGATACCTGGAAGATTCAGATACTGTAGTTGGAATTTAAATTAAATGAATTGCACTGTAAATTAAATAAAATCTACAACATTGGATTTACCGTAATAATGGAGACATTCTGCATACAGTGACTGGCCTGACATGATTGGGGAAGGTTGTTGGGTGTTACTGGGTTAGCAGGGCAGGAACCAAATTTTACCAAGGAGTGCTGAATATTAATTTTGTTGCCCTAGATACTCTGTTGTGCAATATATAGTACTTTATACCCAAAATATTAGGGTGCTACAGCACCCTCCCTTCCCACGTCCATGTACTGGGTGGAGTGAGCCAGCACACACCCGACCACAGCAATAACAAACACCAGACTGACCAAGAGTTAATTGCAGTGCGATAAGTGTTACCCACGTGGCCAAATATGCCGAGATTTTCCCAGATAATTTTTTATAACCCGGCATTTCCCGAGTCAGTTTTTATTAAATTTTGAGACCATATACATGCCGAATTATATGAAATTCCGAGATGCGAGATTTCAAATGGAGAGTTATCAAGAGTTTACTGTAATGTATAGTGTTTTCTTGTCTCAATACTGTACTTTTATGTAAGACTGGTTACCTCCCTTCCTTTTGCAGATACAGAATTTGTATATAAAGGTACTCCTCGACTTACGACCTACTCGACTTAAGACCACCTGGACATATGACCGCCGCAGTCGTATAAAATATTTTTCAAATTACATATTTTCAAGTCCCAACTTTAGTGATCGCGCTGTGTACTGACAAAATTTACGTTTGTAATTCCCTTTAAAGTGGTTGGCAAGCGTAAAGGTGAGAGTTCTCGTGGTGCTGAGAAGAAAAAGAGACACCCATTTTAGATTTTCTATGTATTATTTTCGCATTTTCGACTTCGGACCAATTCGACTTACGACCTGGTCGTCAGTCCCTAACCCCGTTGTAAGTCGAGGACTGATTGTACGTACCTGTACTGTAGTTTACTGTGTGTCTATGTACTGTATGTGCTGAAAATAATTTACTAGTATACCTTATGTACACTGTACTTAAATTGGCCAAGTGCTTCTGGTGGATTAGCAGTTCATCTTTCATAGCATACTTCTGATTACCTTGATAATTACTGTATTATTATTATTATTATTATTATTATTATTATTATTATTATTATTATTATTATTATTATTATTATTATTATTATTATTATTATTATTATTATTATTATTTTTACACAGATGCCGCCAGAACTGAGAGATGGGATGAAGCAGACCATAAGTTCAGAGAACTTCAGAAAAATTATTGCAAGTATTGATCCTCATTTAGACAAGGAGCTGTCCCAGAACCCAGTAGCACCTCAGGAAGATTCGTCTCCCCAAATGCCGACCCCAGCAGGAATGACTAACTCTTTGTGTACCCAGAAAAAGACAAGTACAAAACATGGCCATTTCTCAGGTCATGTCAGGAAAGATTATTCTGATACTGGGTGTTCACCACAGAGTACAGTGCAAGAACCAAAAACTATTATAGTGGATAATCCATGCATAGAGGCAACAAGGAAACGAGGTTCAGAGGAGGACCTTTGTAATGTACCATCCAAAAAAATGGGTGTAATGCCAGTGTTGGCCCAAACAGAACAAAAGTCATCTTACAAACCACCAAATAATAGTCTTGAGGTACAACACAAAACAAATTTGGTTAATTCAGGATCACATTTGTCTAAATCACCATTGCATGACCAAAGGCAGATCGGTTTCCTCAATAATTCCTCACAAAATAGTATTATTGATGATCATTCACCAGCAGGAGACAACCTCACAAGAGTAATTGGTAGTTTGTTTATGATGGATAACAAAAAACAGCTTGAAAATGTCTCTACCAGTGAATCAAGTTTCAGTAATCAGATAGGGTACAGTAGTGAATACTCAACAGGTACTTACCACCAGATGAGTGATTTTACCCCTGCACATGAAGACAGTTATCAGCCAACCAGAACCAATGTTATTTCCTGTGCAATTAACAACTCCTTTGAATGTGATAATTCTGGCAGTGTAAAACAAAATGGCCGTCAAAAGTACAGAAATGATGTTATGGCATCTAAATGTAATTTCCAAAGTGATTGCCTCTCAAGTAAAAAATTGCATTCTGTTCAGCATCAGAATAGAGGACAAACAGAAACTTCTAACCATGACTCACAAATGTTTCCTCAAAACCAGGTTTATTCTCAGCAAGAAGTTTCCACCAAGCAGGTCAGTCAGTACCAAGATGGTGGTTGTTTGTCGTATGGTCAGCAATTTATACCTCCTCAGACAAATATTAGTTCACACCAGGGATGCCAGTTGAGCCTTCCATCATCATCAGATCTTAACTTCAAGGTACAGACACATCTACAGCAAGAACACCATCATCCCCTGCAACAAAGACACCAGTGCCAAGAACAGCACATCCAGCAAGAAAAACACCAGGGAGATCATTATCATCAGCAACTAAAACTACAACAGTGCCAAGAACATCATCATCATCATCATCTACAACAGTGCCAAGAACATCATCATCATCTACAACAATGCCAAGAACAGCAGCAGCATCATCATCCTCGTTACAACTACCACCACCAGCTACAACAACAACAACAACAACAACAACAACAACTAATGTGTCATGAGCAACAACCACCACCACCATATCAGCAGCAGCAACAGCAATCATTTCAAAATCAACAACAATTGTATCAAGATAGACAGCATCACAACCACCTCCTTCACCAAACGCAACTACAAGAGCAGTGTCAAGAACAGCAACAACAAAAAGAACCAGAAAGTCTGGAACATATTCTACCCCAGCAAGAAGAAGGCCAGCACCAACAACAAAGACAACATTGCCAGGAACAGCAGTACAGCCATCACTTACAAAGGTCACACAGCCAGCAGCATCAGTCATATCAAGAACCTCAGAGACTACAAGAAGAGCAGCTTCTACACCAGAGACAGCAAATTGAGCATGAACTTCCTCTTCAGCAACAAAGACAACATCTACAGCAAAGACAACAATATTTACAGCAGGGACAGCAATGGCAGCAAGGACAGAATTTACAGCAAATAAATCAACTACAGCACGAACCAAATCTGCAACAGAGACAGCATAAACCTCTACAGCCAAGACAACATTTACAACAGGAACAGAATATACAGCAGAGTCAGCAAATAGAACACCAACACCACCAACAAAGTCAACAACAACCACAACAAAAACAACCTTTTCAACTAGTACGTCAAAATTGTGAATTCCATTTACAACAAAGACAGGAACAGGAAAGTGAACACCAATTACCACAAGTCAACCAGCACCATCTAGAACAAGTTTTGCAAGCAGTACAGCCGAGCCAACAGCAGCAGCAGCCAGGTTGTCTCTTGATGAATGAAGCACCTGAGACAAGGAAGGACATTGAGGGGACTCCAGTTATTTTTACCCATTGTTCTTCATCGGTATCATTTCAAGGTACAGGATACAGTAATTAATTTTTATCCTCTTTTCTTAATTGCATGTGTAGGGGTACAAACTGATTTCCATATGTTTTAACCCATGTCTGTTCATTCTTCATTTTGTTCTTTCTTACATCTGTTTTTACTTCTTTCTCACATGAGATATACTGTACAGTGATATCCCCGTTAGCAAGAATAATTGGTGCAGAGTGGTTTCGGGATTAAAAGGTTTCTGGGTATGGGGATGAATTTTCTCATCCCAGGAAAAAATTGCACATCCCTGAATGTTTCCAGGTGCTGTACTGGCGAAAGTTTTCCGAAATTCTAAACTGTGCCGCATCTCACAGACAGTTACAAAGCTGTACAGTATTTATTTATGCAAACACCACTGTACAAGTATAACATACAGTATTGTAAAAAAAAATAATAATGGTTGCTCCTCATGTAACGAGGATGGCCAGCCCAAGGGCCACCTAGGCATGAATATTTTTGAGGTGTAGAAGCGGTCACCAACACAACAAGCACACCCTGAGTTAGCGAGTTGCATGACCCAGTATCAAGGATAGCCCGAGAAGACCAGACAACTCCCCAACTGCACTGGCTAACCATTACCCCGGAACGATCTGCAAATTGATTAACATCCAGGTTCCCAATTACAGGTTGACAGAAGCAAATGGCATAAAGAAACTTGCCCATAATTTCACCTTGCCCAGGAATCGAACCCGGGTCCACTTGCTTGTGAGGCGAGAATGCTGACCATTACATCACAGGTCGCCACTGTAGCAGGTGTTACTAACTGTCACTATCCTCTCCCTCCATGAAGGAGGGATTGTACACACAGTAAAAACACTATATTTACATTTCTTGTGCGAAACAAAATGACACCACAAACGAAGGTTTTTGGTAAAGGTCCATTCACCAATCACATTGCAATGAACTAATTTGATATTTTAAATGAAATGACTAAATTAGGCCGACCATAATAGGTATGAAATGTCTTACAATCACGCCTACCAACCCTAGCAAGACAACACGAGTGTTCAGTTCCAAATTCATTGGACCCCGATTAAAGATACTTTTTCCCAATTGTGCCAAGAAACCTCTTGCTTTACAAAAAAGATTTTTACTTGGTTTATCCGACGTCGACATCCCACCCATCTCCACCCTTCGAGAGTTGATATTTGTTTACTGCTCGCTCTAGGGCAAAAGATGACTGTAGCAATGCGTGTGATGGAGGGTGCGGGAGGGGGTTTGAGAATTGCAATTAAATGTCAGGTAGCTACGTGTCCTCCTAATATTACGTATTTAAGTAATTATTAGATGTTTTAATTGCCTGTATGTTGACCTGGCGAGTTAATGCTAGGCATTTACATATCTAGGTATAAAGCTAGATGTCGCATTCTGGACTTTATCACAAAAACTGGTTTTTAGAAAAAAATGGCATTTGTTTAGTATATTATCTTAGGTTTAAATACTTGAAAGACCATTATTTTATGATTATTATAATGTGCCATCAGTTGTCTTTTTTATAATTTTTTTCAGGTTGTGGTTCGGGTTTTAAGCGAGGGTACAGGTTGTACCTCTCTAGTCTGGCATTCTGTGGCCCGTAAACTCCCGTGGTCCGGAACGATTTTAGTTTGTCCAATAGGTAGATAGGCAGCTTTTTTTTTTTTTTTTTACTTATCTGATTATTATTATTATTACAGGAGTATTAAATTTTTGCCCCTCAGGCCCCAATGTGGGTCAGTGACCTATGCCCGGGTGGGCTAATCCCCTCAAAAAAAAAAAAAAGCCGGGGGAAATTAAAGTTTGTTTACATTCAGCAGTTTGGCTGCTCTCTCTCTCTCTCAGTAAATAAGTGTTGCTTTCATATTCTTATGTAGAGTAATGACGATATATTTTCACATGTGCGCACTTACATACGCACAGTCTCGCTTTTTGTTTTTACCATTAATGGTTAGCTACTTATATTGTTCCATTTATTAACATTAAATAACATTACAGGTACTTCAAACAACCATATTAATTTTTTTACATTAATTTTACTACAGCTAAAATCAGGGTCTTATTTTCTTCAGTTTTATATGTAGAACCAATCAGTCACTGGTTTTGTTAGCTTTAACATAAACAATGCTGGCAGCCGTCTCGTCTCCTCTGATATTCCACGTATTATTAATAAATTGTATTGTTAATTTTGCACACACAAACATTAATTCAATAAAAACAAATTCAGAAACATTAATTAAAATATATATGAACAGTAAATAAGTGTTGCTTTCATATTCTTATGTAAAGTAATGACGATATGTTTTCAAGTGTGCGCATGCGCACTTACATACGCAATCTCTCTTTTTTCTTTACCATTATCGTTAGTTACTTCTATTGTTCCATTTATTAACATTAAATAACATTACTTAAAACAACCATATTAATTTTACTACAGCTACAGCCAAGGTCTTATTTTCTTCAGTTTTATATGTAGAACCAGTCAGTCACTGGTTTTGTAATCAACGAAAACAATGCTGTGTCATTTCCTCGTGTTTTAATATTCTACGTATTATTAATGAATTGTATTGCTCATTTTGCACACATAAACAATAATTCAATAAAAAAGACATTCAGTAATAAACAATAATGAATGTTTTGTACATAAGAGAAATGACGCTGTTTACACGATTATGCACGTCGTCTGCACATTGGCGGGCCGTTCAAACCCGTCGAAATTCAAGTTTCCGCCGTCAAAATTTTTAATTATTTATTAATTTGTGTGTTCCAATAAAATAAGTTAAGAATTAAAAACTCGCGAAATTTGAGAAGCTACTATACGACATTTAACCCTTCAATATGTCTTCAAAGAGACCATGATGCAGAGAAAGTGGTGCTAGTGCTTCCAAGCATAAGCACAAGTCACTATCTATCCAGGAAAAGGGTGAATTTCCATGGTCCGGCAAGTTCCATGGTCCGGCACCGGTCAGGTCCCGAGGTTGCCGGACGAGAGAGGTACAACCTGTATTAGATATTTGATAATGATATTAGGAGAAATATTAAATACAATGGTCGAAATCACTTTTTTTTTTAACCCTTAAAACCCGGGTGATATTCCTTTATGTTCACTATAACAATCCCAGGTGAAATTCCTCTACTTCCTTAATTTTCGCAGCATAGTTTGAACGTCCAGGCGGGATGAAGTACTTCGAATTTACTGGGCAACTCAACTTGCACTTATTCTTTTTCTCAAGTTTAGTGGTCCTATGACTCACCATCTATCACGATGGATGCACGTCCTTCGACGTCTCGTGGCCCGCTTCGCCCCTCCATACCCTCAACAGTAGTGCTTTTCATCAAGAGTTACTTGATTTGAGTGGCATTGATAGGGTATTGGTGACAAAGACAGTGATGGGGAGGAAACAGACCCAGATGATGTAAAGTTTGTTGAGGCAGCCAGAAATGAAGACAATGGCACTCACTCCACCTCCCCACCCTGCCAGCCACCCCGTCAGCAAGGTCATGGTTATGGGCGCTGTGGTGGATGTATACGTAGGGGACCATGAACACGACAGGTACAACAGTACAGTGATCCCTCGGTTAACGAAATTTCGGTTCACGAATTACCTTCCATAAGAATCTTCAATTCGGTTAACGAAATTTTTACGAAATCATGTCAACATGTTTTCGCTTGCTCACCAGCTGGAATATTAGTTCGCCAATACAGTAATCAGTTTTAGGGCTTAAATTCGTTCCCATTTGAGTAAATATCAAGAAGGTTGTACTATTCAGTAATTTTCCAAGTTTTATTTTAAAATTTTTAGTCATTTTCACACTTATTTAACATAATTGCAGTACAGGAAACTAGTTTTTGGTGCACCAATCAGCCACTTGACTCGTCCAGCAAGACGTCAGTTTATATCTGGTCAGTGGAGGTAACATCTTGCTTGTGGCTCTCTTGAACATAAACTATTTTTACATTTTTACAGTACAATTATTGGTCATTCTGAAATTTATTTTACATATTGACAATATATAGTGCAGTGCAGTGTTGATTTAAAGAAAATAATCCTGAATTACACCGAGTGAACTTAAAATTTTATGGGTGAAATGACGGCATGAAGCATGGGGTGATTTCTCTTCCACCCCCACTTCCTTCTCTTCTCCCTTCTCCTCCACCCCTGCTTCTAATTCCCATCATTATCATCATCATCAACCAGGAGCCTTCTACATACACACCTCAAAGTAGGTGTACTTTACTGCATTTATTTTTGCTTTGTATGTAATTTTCGGTGAGCTGGAACCAATTACCCAAAATCCCAGTGAAACAATGGTTTCAGTTAACGAACGACCTTCTAGAACGAATTGTGTTCGTTAACCGAGGGATCACTGTATACTTGAAGTGATTGCACTAATTATACACCTGAAATACCAGTTTTTTATTGTGGGTTAAAACTTTTTTTGTAATTTGCCGAAATGTGCCAGCATGGGGGGGGAGGGGTCCGGTGGGTCTTACCTCACCCAGGGCATAAGGGTTAATATTTATCAACACGGGGCATACTGAATCTCGATAACCCATCCAATGTCCTCTTCACCTGTCAATCCTGGTCTGCCTGGCCTAAAATTATATAATTTATATGAATTGAAAATTCAAGTTCAATAAGTTATGTTTACATTACACCCCTGAAATTAGTCATTTTAATAATCAAATGCCAGCAAATCATAAAAAATACTCACCACAGCCAGTTTCCCAAGTTTCCAAACTCCTCCCTGTGGGTTAACCAATGTCTCAGTCTGTCTGGTAGCGCCAACTTCCCTTGCAATTCCTGACATGCACAAACCAATAATTTGCCCATGACTTGCCAATCGACGTTCTTTAACGTCTATCCTGGGTTGGGTGTGGAGCAGTGGCCAAACACCATTGCCACCACCACCTCATCACCTCGCATTTATTTTCATAACTCAAATAAACATATTACAGGGCGGACAAGTTACATTCTGTCCAACATTTTTTTTTTCATCAATTACTAGTGATTTTTTTTTCAAGAACAGTATAGCAAGAGGTGGAAGTGATCAAGTTTAGTGTTACTGGTGATGAGCAAGGTTGAACGTAAAGCCATGCCCCATCTCTCTTATGTTGTCATATCAGGGGCTTTCTCTCATGGAAGCCAGATGCCTTATTAACCCTAATGACAGATTACTTGCCAAAAGCCCACTCACACTCCTCCCAAGAATTTTAAGTAAAGGCATAGATAACTAAGGGAAAGTTCAGTCCATATGACACCTCCCTGGACACCCGCCCTCCTGGTTGGTTGGTTGTTTTGGCTTAGGCCTATCAACTGCCAGGGTTAGTAAGACCATCAACGTCAAGCTACATCCACCAACCGTAACACCTTCATGTATTAAGGAGAATTCTAAGACCATATACACACTCACTATGTATGTGGCCCATGACTTGCTCCCTCCTACTTTACCTGGGTCTGCCACCCCTAGCCTTTCCCTCATCAATACCTCCTCCACCCATGGGTGTCTGCAGCCCCCTGGAAAATGAGATAATTCTTTTTCTGCAATCTTAGAACACAATATTTGCATGATATTACAAGTTTAAGTGAACGGTTTGTTACTTAACATTTCCACAACAGACACTTGGGGTAAGCCAGTACTTTTGAAAATTCCTCTGCGGGTAAGAATTACAATGTCGTTGGCAAGAGCGACAACTGGCTGGCAGTCTCGGGTAAGATCATCATGATGGTTCATATCACAGACTAACTGTGTATAACTGGTGTTAGGTGATGATTAAGCTGTGACCACTTGTCATTAAAAGTGACTATGCATTATTTTACAGTTAGTTTAAAAATGAAATGTTGTAGTAAGTGCACTTTACTTTTACAGTGGTCCCTCGGTTAACGAACGCCATGGTTAACGAAATTTCGGTTAACGAACTGCCTCCCATAAGATTCTTAAATTCGGTTAACGAACAAAAATTCGGTTAACGAATTTCTTACGAACCGACCTCAACATGTTTTCGCTTGCACTGGCCGGTCAACCAGCTTTAGTATTAGTCCGCCAATACATTAATCGGTTCTAGGGCTTAAATTCCTTACTATTTTAGTAAATATCAAGAAGTTTATACAATTCAATAATTTTAAAAGTTTAATATTCAATTTTTTAGTAATTTTAACAATTATTGAACATAATTGAAGGTAAAGTGACTAGTTTAATGCGCGGCATCCAGCCTCTTAACGCAGCAAACAGGCGTTAGTCTCTCTGTTTTCACTGGAGGTAACATCTTGCTTGAGACTCTCTTCAACCAAATGCTTTTTTTCTGTGTTTCCAAGCAAATTATTGGTCATTTTGAAATATATTTTACATATTGACAATATATAATGCAGTGCAGTGTTGATTTAAAGAAAATAATCTTGAAATACACCAAGAGAACTAAAATTTTATGGGTGAAATGGTGCCATGGGGTGACTTCTCTTCCACCCCAATGCCTTCTCTTCTTCCTTCTCCTCCACCCCCATTCTAATTCCCATCATCATCCAGGAGCCTTCTACATACACACCTCAAAGTAAGTGATCTTTTCTACCATTTTTGTTGAATTTAGGCAATTTTCGGTGAGCTGGAACCAATTACCCAAAAACCCATTGAAACAATGGTTTCGGTTAACGAACAACCTGCTGGAACGGATTGTGTTCGTTAACTGAGGGACCACTGTACTTTTATCCTCTTCACCACTGATCGGCTCATTAGCCACTTGGGCGATCGGTCACGTCTCTGTTACGCACTGTTGGCAAGTACTGGTCATGCACCGGCTCCTGAATGCACCTGGTTTTGGAGTGGACAAGCACTGCCTGCAGTATTTATTTAACTATTGAAATTACGTTGCTGATGTTCTGAGCATGTCATCACCATGACAGACATAGCATTGGCCATCCCTAGATTTTCGGGATTAATGATATCAAATGAATTTTTTTCGATAGTTTTAATAATGCTCAAGGTCGACCTACGATGATTTTAGTGATTAATAATTTGGTGGTAACACTGATAAGTGATATTGCTGATCATAGATTACCTGTACTCGAAAGCAACTTGATTGTACTTGATCATACTTCTATATGGATGTACTGTATATACTGTACCTATTTTCAATGAACTCTGGTTTGTCCGGTCTTGTCTTGCCAACTTGCATCCTCCCCTGGAAAAAATCTTGCAAATGCTCCTGCTCCCCACCCTCTTGTAACCCATCATGTAGAAAGGCCTTGAGCTCGCTAGTATGGCAGTAGGAGGTGTGGATGATTACTTTTGACTGCGACTGTACATATGGTACTTTCACACTTACTGAATGTACAGTACAGTATACGTAACTGTAATCACTTTTTACGTCTTAAGTGCTTTAATGGTATTCTTGGCTGATTATATGTTGGTACTGTACAATAATGTACAGTACTGCGAAACACAGATCATATGCTAACACGGCAATGAGCTATCGAGCAAGCTTGTACAATAGCAACAGACAAATAACTACCGGTAAGAGTGTCACGATGCAAGAGTTTGAGGAGATAGGCTGCAAGATACATCAGGCAATCATAGACATCCCATGCAGTCACATGACAGTAGTGACAAATTGTCGCTCACGAGCACTCTAAGCCTACCCACGTGCCCGGCACATGTCCCCACATCGGAAACAAGATGTAAGCTCTCGGAAATTCCTTCCCGTGTCTGGAACAGAGATTTTCTCGTAATTTTCTGGAAATGCACACGATGCAATCCTAGGAAATTAGTTCTCATGCCCGGAATGGAAAGGTTTTTTCTGAAATTTCTCGGGAAAAAACAATGAGAAAAAAAAGGCTAGCATAGAAGAAGGAATTTGTGTAGGGTACTTCATGGGCATACTTGCTATCAGATTAGATTTTCAAGATGTGTGACTGATTATTGTAATAGTGAGGGCATTGCTCTAGTTATAATAAATGGTTGCCCTTCGTGTAACGAGGATGGCCGGAATTTGTTTAAGGTGTAGAAGTTGTCGTCAACTCAATAACCACACCCTAAGTTAAAGAGTTGCATGACCCAGTATCAAGGAACAGTCTGAGAAGACCGGACAACTCGCCGGAACGTGATCCGCAAATCGATTTACATCCAGGTTCCCAATTATTGCTGGGTAGATAGAGGCAAAATGGCATAAAGAAACTTGCCCATAGTTTCACCCTGCCCGGGGATTGAACCCGGGTCCGCTCGCTTGCGAGGCCAGCATGCTGACCATTACACCAAAGACTGTACTGTACAGAATATATACAATATCAAGCTTAGGTACTTGAGCAGTATGGTGATTGAAGGGGAGTTCTTCACATACCTGTACACTTGTGCATGAGAAATATAAGGTAACTGCTTCTTTCTTTTAACAGAGAAGGAAGGGTTGCTGTCTTCTGCTAGGTTTAAAAATATATTTTTCCTCCAGATGAAGATTACCAGTTGTGTGAAAGCTCATCAGGAACAACTGTAGAGAACAGCTTATTTCATCAGTATGGTGCCAACTTTCAGCCACAGATTGTAGATCAGTTTTCAGGTATAGCAGAAGTACCAACACTCATCTGTAGGATTTCCTTGTTTAATCCAGTTTGCAAAAACTTATACAGTAAACCCTCCAGTTTGGCGACTAATTAGTGCCAAAAAAACCTTGCCAAACCCAGAATTGCCAAACCAAAGGGCTAAATCCAATGGAAAAAGCCTAATAGGTACCAAGGGGCCACTCAGTCTCAATTTTTTCCCGTTTTACCCACATATACTCTATATTTTATTGCAGGGAATGAATAATTAGTTAATCAACATAAACATAGAAAACCAACCTTAAAATTAAAGTTGAGGAGCTTAATGTACACTAAGCTGGTATCTGAGTACTTTTTCATTTTCTTCCCAACTCGATACTCACGAGAATTTTTCGTCTTTTTTTTTTTTTACTCCATCAATTGAACCGCCCTGGCGCTCAGACGGTCTTTCACCACCACTTTCATCCCCTTCAATACCCTCAGGTACTTTTGAGGCCATTATTTCATGCGAGAACGCCGTGCCAAGCAAGATGGAGTAAAAAAAGTGACACAAAGGCCAAGGTCACTCAAACAAGCAGCGGGAATGTGGATTAACATGGTCAAATTGGCTGCCAGAACAGCTGACTGGCACTTTGCGCTCGGTAAATACTCACCAAGAATACTCGCCAGTAGTATTAAGCGAGATTTTTCTTGCAATTATTATTCTACAATTATTAGTTGTGATTGCATTTAAATTTAAGCTCTTGCCAAAGATGTGGGTTTGGTCGCCATAATGGAGGGCAGGGTACAGTACTTTGAATTTTGACTGCCAACTTCGAATTTGCCAAACTGGAGGGTTTCCTGAAAATCTTTTAGTGCATCACCTAAGCTTTCTTACAAATTAAATATTTATAGTTAATACGTAGTAATTATTGGCATGATTATCAGTAATTATAGTATTGTAATCTGTAAAATTATATAAATTCAAAACTTAAAAAAAAATTGAATTTGAAGCATGGCAGATAAGAATTTTACCATAACACCTAAAATGTTTGATCTAATGGGGTAAAATCATCTGTGGTGAGCCCACACCTAAACCCCTTTAATGATGCTTGCACATGATCCACTCTACCACATTTTCCCTTAAATTCTTGCTGGTAATATTTACTACAGTACAACTTTTTAAGTTGTTTTAATCCCTTTTCTCTTAATTCATCCAAACACCATCTACACTTCTGAAGCCAACATCTTTAACATGAAATACACAAGTTATATTCTGAATCTGCTACAACAATACCATAACAGCATGTATGGCACGAAAAATATATTCACCCCATTTATGTCTCTGGTTGTTTGACTTGTATTTTTGTGTTGATAAATAATATTATACAAGTAGATGAACTTTTTTCTTGCAAAGCTTTTGAGTAATGGTAACAGTGATTATGTTAAGGAATTCAGTTATATGTAGTTTGTTATAAATATACTATACTGTATATGACATGTTAAAGAAATAGAAGAGATGTAATGGTGAGTAATTGTCAGTCACTTGTGTTTAAAGTAATTCTCCGTCACCTGTGTTCCAGGACAGCACCTCTGATATAGGTCCAGCTGGCCTTCTGTTGGCATCTGTGGTTCCTGGGATTAGCAAAAAGGAAGAAAACAAATGATAATCTCAGCAAGTATCAGTACATAGTCTACAGTACAGTATAAGTAGAATTAAAGAGGGTTTTGCATATATATATATATATATATATATATATATATATATATATATATATATATATATATATATATATATATATATATATATATATATATATATATATATATATATATATATATATATATATATTAGTTTGTTTAAAGAGAATTTAAGTGTAAAATGGACTTCTTATGTTAGAATTGTTTGGTGAGAGTGCAGGACATGTTTAACCTTTGACGTAGTGGCAGGGTTATGTGACTGGCTGGACACATGAACCATGTTTTGTGGAATTGTATGTTGCAGCACAATGAGTATGTTAATATTAATTCTTGACCTGAAACCTGACTGGTTAATGTAACCACTTGTAGATTGTGGCAGAAGTTGGATTTATGGGATAAGACTTTTAATCCTCTAGCTAACAATACAGCGCAGCACTTGCATTATCCAGCAGCAGCATGGTGTATCCTGATATTAAGCAGGTGAGCATGTGGTTATTTATTAGGCTATCTGTTGGCAGTGATTGGCTGGAGCTTACCAGGTTACTCACAAGGTTTTGTAGGCCATGGAAAAAAAGAAAAAAAGATTTGGTAGGTATTTTATTACTACATACATGTACTGTCCAGAAAATAAAAACATGCAACTTGAATTTTTTAAGTGTAGGATCATGGCATACAATTTTAAGAAATGCCCTTTTTTTTCAATGTAGATTTTGAAATTTAAACTTGATTACCTCTCAATAATGTTATTCTATAAAAATGTTTTTGTCATGTGTTAATATTTAGTTAATACATCTCTGGTATCACTTACCAACTCAAAATCTGCTGACGGATCCCCACTGAACATTTAAAGGTATCTGTTTGTATATAAAGTAGATATATTTTTTGACAGAAACTTCTTCAGGAATGTACATAATTTGTTGAAAATTAAGACAACACAACACAGCCCTCCAAGAAGGTAGAATATCAGATGCTGTAATTGTAAATCTTTTATATGTTTCATTGTGTACAGTCACAGGCATAAATCAAAGATACTCTAACTTCTATTTTTAATGGAAAATTAAGAAGAATTTATATAGAGAAGGATTAGTAGAAGAGGTGAAAATAAACTTTGTGTATGCTGTTCAAACACCGATTTAAAAAATTACGTATTGCCCAACACCCCCATTATGAGGGCTCCGTCCCATTACTCTATATGTATATGGTTCAGTGTATTTAGATTGACTAAAAATGTTTGTGGATTAAATATAAGAAAAATTAAACAGTTTACTGCTGTAATATCTTTCTAATTTTTACAATGTTTTTATCTTTTTTTTAAATCCAAGAATACAGTACACTGTATTAAAATTTACATGGTTATCATATGTTGTTTTTTATGGATTGATACTTATGTTTTAACTCTTAAAATATTTGCTAAATCGTTACTCATGTCTCACATCCAGATGTACACTCGGTAAAAAAAACTACCATTACAATTCCTGCGTGAAACAAACTGACACTACAAATGAAGTGTTTCAAAAAGGCCCCTGAAGCATGGGTTCGACCACACATGCTCGTAACAAGTGATCGGCACTCTGAAACGAGTCAGAGTTTTTGCTGCCACACTAACACAATTTGAAACTTGATTGGAACTCATTTCTCCATGTCAAATACACATTGTGAGCGGTGTTGTAGCATCCTAATATTGTGATTTATGTAATTAGTGCTACCAACATTTCCTGATATCTTACATAAAGAATGTATATGTTATAAGTACGAAATGTCTCTCATTCAGGCCTACCAGCCCTCGCGAGACAGCGGGAATGTTCAGTTGGAAAATCATCGGACCCCACCTGTATGATAGTTGTTTTTCCGAGTGTACAACAATTTAATTACCTGAATCATTAAATAAGAAACAACTGGCAAACTGCTTCAGGATAAGTGTTGGATCCAAGCATTTTATCAAAGTGAGTTCATTTCTGTTAGTAAACAATATTAGTGATGGATGACACAAAAACATTTAAGGTTTAGTGGTAACCAAGATTGAAGGATTTTAACTCTAAGGAGATTTTTTTTTTTTTTTTTAAGTAACATTATAAAGACTTTTAACAAATTAGGGATTTTACAGAGGTATGTTTTTTATCCTTTCTGCTGCTTGTCAACTAACTAGCTAGCTGAGCAAACTGATGAAGATGCACTTTTCATTTCAGACAATTGAACCCTCTTAAATCCACTCCTGATATTGTACCGTACAGTACTGTATGTCTTTATATTTTTGCTTTCACTTTCATCATTCATTCATATCTCAGGCTGTTATTGTCAGCAGGCACTGGATATGCATAGGCTCTTGAATGTACCTGAAAATGCACCAATGTTGTTTTAGCCTAGACTTTTAAAAATTTAACACTTGGTGCTATCCCAGCATTTGCTGGTAACTTATTCCACGAGTTCACAGGTCTCGTGCCAATAAGTTAGCTCTGACAGTTTCTGGTATTGGTAGCTTTTCAGTTGAAACTGTGTCCTCAAGTAGAACAACTATCAGCTAATTCCAGATATGTACACTTAAATGTGCCCCTTAAGGTGCTAACACAATTTTTTTTTTCTGTTCTATAATGTAAATGAGGCAGCTGTTAATATTCTAGTTGCTTTTGGTCATGAGATGTTGGCAGCCCTTCTTTGAACATCCTCAATTGCAAAATTTGGTAGTCTTAAGCATTACCTCATATACCAAGCAAATGGTTAATCTTGAACAAAACTGTTTTTCTTAAAAAGTAGGAAGGTGATTGATGTATGAAACATGTGTGTGTTTGATTGAACTATTGTTTTTATTTATCAACAATTTCATTCATTCAACAGCTTCAGATTCAAATGCCTTTTCTCAAGTACAAAAAAAGAGTAGCATATCCATAATTTCTTCTTTTTTCCATGTCCTATTTAAAAGATACTAACTTAGAGACAGCTCTATGTGCTGAGTAAGTTATGACTGAAGAATGTCAGGAAGTACAGTACAAGGTGTGTACTGTCAGTTGTAATGTTTGAGTTTAAGAATCGCTTCATACTTTTACTTTTATCCTCTTCACCACCGATCGGCTCGTTATCCGCTTGGGTGATCGGTTACGTCTCTGTTATGCACCGGCTCCTGAATGTATCTGAACCTGCTCCAGTGCTTATCCAGTCTGGTCTGGAAAAGCTTCCACTCGGTGCTGTCACAACACACTCTGGCAGATTGTTCCAAGAGTTCACAACTCTCACTCTGAAAAAGTTACCCTTCACAGTTTCTGGTATGTTGGTGTGACTTGTGTCTCCTCTTTCAAGGAACTGTCAAGTGTTATGATGGGTGGCATTTAATTGTTTTACATGGTTTCCAGCCAAAACCATATTGCAAGTCTATATGTTATATATTTCCAAGTTTTTCATGATGTATTACAAAATGTGTAAAGAATGGAGGTCTTATATGCGAGGCAGTACTGTACTTTGAAAGGCTTTGTCCTGTCTCCAGTCTTGAAAGGGGGATTTTTGCCTAGACAAAGCCAGTCGGGAGGATAGAGTTCAGTACTGGAAAAGATTGTCTGGTATGAAAACAAGGATGTGTGCACACTGTTTAAGGATGTACAGGTATGCTGGGATGTTGTCTGGTCCATGGCACATGTCACATCAAATGTCTATTAACCCCTACGCCCTGGGCTAGGGTGCCGCTGGCTGTACCCTCCCACGCGGGATAAATCGAAAAAAAATCAACTTCACCCAAAAATAATTTTTGACCTTTTTAAATGATAAAACAACCAAATAGAAGTAAGAAAAACTATATATTGACCCTCTAGAAACTTCCCTGAGGCCACAGTGGTGGGAAAAGGGCAGCGCGGAGTGGGGGAGATAAGGGGACAGCGTTGTTTTGACGCGAGCGCCTGTGGTTACGTTCGCACTTTGCGGCCATTTTCTGCTTGCCTTTGTGTCTGGGATGGCCAGTAATACATATATTTACTGATCATAATACTTATTTCCTTTAAATAATTCATTTAGAATTTATTTTATTTGCATTATTTTTCATAAAAAGTACTCGGCGACACACATGCAGTCTGTCGCCAAGCTGTCTGTGTTTGGGAGAGCAAGTAATGCACAGAAATAAGTATCGGAATAATAATTTGACAAATATTATTTATAACATAATCATAGCATTATTTTCCAGTAATACTACACTACAATACAACTACACTACTTTTAGCAATATTACTTTGATGCAACATGATAAAATGGACAAACAATGAAAATGAAACAAACAAAAGTACCTAGGTACTTACACTCCAGAAGCTTCCCTGTGGTGTGACACACAAATAGTCACGCTGGAACCTGACAACCCGCGCTGGGCATTCAAACAATGCCGAGTAAAGGCATGCGTTCTGGAACGTCAACCGGGGCACCCGAGATGATCGTTCCGGGGCGTAGGGGTTAATATTTATGGGTTACTACAGTGGTCAAAAAGTCCACTGTGGGTATTGATGAGGGTGGTTTCTTGTTTGAACACTGATTGAAATCTTATGAATGTCAATACTTTGTATCTGGGTTCAGTGAGAAATAAGTTTCCATGTTTAGATTATTGTGTATTTGTACAGTACAGTAGTGTCATAGTTGTGTTTTTAGGATATTTAAAAAGAAATGACACGGGTTGTTGTAACAATGCTTGCAAGGTGTGTAGTTGTCTATTCTCATATTTTCTTCATCTTTTGTGAAAGATTTTGGATGTGTATCATATAAATTCCAGTTTTTAGGGTGTTGTACAAGAGGCCTACAGTGGAACATGGTACCATGCTCAAAAACGTTATTTTACAGCATTGTCTTCTCCCATTCTCCCTCTGTCTGGAGAGAGAGGCGGATGTATTTGGGGCTAACGTCCTTAAGGCTTAGAGTCCCTCAAGTACATAGGTAGAATGCACTGTGTTGGCTAGCTCTACACTGAGCCTGGCCACTTCACTGCAACAAGGTATTGTCCGCCACAGTACTTTGTTGCGGTAAACTGACCAGGCTACATGTATGATGCATGACTGGGTGAATGGTGTTTTTCATGTTTTTCTTCCTGATTATTATTTCTATGATGTTTTCCTTTTCTTTTTTAATTACTGTGTCCCATTATTGCAACAAGGTTTAGGACAAAAACCAATGTGCTTTGGGCACAAACTGAAGAACTTCAGTATCTTGATACTTAAGAAAACTAAGTAAGTTATGATTAAAATTTAACATTGCACATAAAACTAGAGGCTCTTTGGCTTCATTAAAGAATACTTCCCAGGTATCTCTATTGGTTTGAAAGTACTGCCAGCAGCACCCTAACCCGGGGCTTAAGGGTTAATGACTCGGATTTTGTTCATTTAATTTGTACAATCTCATTATATGTCGTCTTTTTCCCAATTTTCAATTTTTTTTTAATGTATGGATCTTGCTTTTTCTGCCTTTGTCTCCACCATCCTCTTGCAATATTAAGACCAAAGATTTTTTTTTTCCTACATTGATATAATGTGTGTATTGTCTTATAAATTGTAAGCTTTTAAAGCCCCCTAATATTTTTGGCAAAATTTCAACTTTGTTACTTTTACATTTACATTCTTGTGGTTTTAAGACAGCTAGAATGTTTGAGTTGAGATTGTGTAAAAAAGTCTTTGTTTTGTTGAATGGAGTATTGTGGTAACTAACTTAACCTTTTATAATAAATAAAAAATTTACAGGATTTATGAGTGTTGAGACATCCCACTTATAATAGCACAGTACTGTGCTGTTGCATGGTGTGAAGGACTTGTCTCAGCCAGTGCCTTCAAGTTGGACAGATTGTCTTCCTCCTCTGGCATATGTAATAATAAGTTATAGAATTGTTTCTAATTGGCAAGGAATTTTGACCTGAACTGGCCCCTTAAATTTGAGTGCAGTACTGACTTGGCAAAAGAGGCAGCAGAGACAGATGTAACACCCCCCCCCAAAAAAAAAAAAAAAAATATTAATAATAATAATAATGAAAATTAAAGTTTCTGGGAACTGATTAAAACACTAAATATATTTGTTTCTAGAGGCTTCAAAGAGCTTTGTTTCTTGGGTTTACTGTACAGGCATTCTTGAATGACTTTCAAAATTTTTATCAGTATGTAACATAAACATCTTTGTAAATATAAATATTAAACTCTCTTCAGTCACGGACAGACAATAAATTAACAGTAAGTGTAAGGTTGACCATTTGAGTAGTTTGTATACCTGTATAAACACAATTTCGTCCTCCTGTAATCTGTCTTTATTACTATGATCCTTTTTATAGTACAAACATGTAGGGTTCTAGAATTTTTTACATAAGTGGCAATTTCCAAAGACCAAAAGAAACTACAGTACAGTATCTTATTACAATAAAGGTATATATCAGGTGTGTATATGTGCATCTGTCTTAGTGTGTTTTTGTGAGCTATGGGTGAGAGGAATAATTAATTTCTTGTTAATTTGAATACTTTTGATTTTTTTATTAAATGACAATGGCAGTTCAGTCTGCTAATTATCAAAGGTAAATACAATAAATATTTCTTGAAGCAGAAGATGTAAGACTGTAGCTAACTAGAGAATTATCTCAGGATCAAAAAATAACATTAAACAATGCATCAAAATTACCCCCAAACCCAACCTTAACTATATATGTTTACTTAGTATCAGTTAAGAAACAAATTGAATGTAAAATTTTTTTAGAAAGATTCTTTTCATTGATTTTACACCTTGTATCCTGTGAAGTGCAGTATACAGTATTCTTACATCTTCAGTTATGAGGAGTATTAAATATACTGTATATAACCTTTGATAACTAAGTCCAGTAAAGTACAGTATTTGTGGCTTTTTTTTCTTCCAAATTTTATACCTTGCAACTGAGGGGAGATTGCTCAAGTATTGAAAGAAATATTTTTATTTTTATTAAAATTTTTATTAAAATTCTCATTTATTATACAGTATTTTGTTAATTACCTGTTTACATTCGTTTTTACATGTTTCAAAATATAGTTACCGGGTATGTTAACTGGGAAAATGTGCAAGGTAAGCTAAGCAGCCTACCTTTTTAACCAACTAACTTTTTAGGTAAGTATTTGTTTGTTTCAGAAACCAACTTTTGTTTTGACTGAAATTTTTTGAGCTTCATTTATTACTGCTATATTAATATTCTGTAGAGTTTGTACATATACAGTACCTTTTTATTTACTAATGTTTTTCCACATTATCTAGATACACTTTATTGTGCTTATTCATTAAAAATAACTATATTTGTGTCTTAGTGAAGTGGTTTTAGAGATGCTACTGTCTTTTGTATGAAATGTTGACAAAAATTTATAGTAAAATACTGTATATCTTTTACGTAGATAGTACGAATGAAAACCCTTATGGATAAATGTATATAAATTTTTATATTTACTATCAATTTAAATACTACTACAGTGTATACTGTACAGTATAAGGTATACATACACTCTACTCTAAGTAGGGATGCAACAGCCAAGGGGATGCAGTATGTACTTGCCTTCTGCCCTAGTGGTTGCTGATCCATGCCTGGGGCTTCCCCAGTTTACTCACCTGTGAGTGGTTACCTGACATTAAGTGGGGAAGTGAAAGTGGTCTTAGTGATGACCACATTGTGTGGTGAAGCTTAGTCTTTAGTGTCTGCACTACCCCTAATGAGCCATCTCACCCATGATACCTCTTTTTCCCTTCAACTGTAAATATCTTTTTATCAAAATAAACAATCAACTATTTTGAATGTCAGATTAAAAAAAAAAATCATGGGAATGACTGTAAAAGTGATCTCCTTCAACTTTCTGTAACTACTGTTTACAAAATAAGGTTTTTGAGTTCATTCATGTTTAGCCCCAGTTTGTCTCCAGTGAGCATTCTAGACTTAGAAGCATGTTGTTTACTGTATGAGTGAAAAATTTAATGTGTGCATTATTCTCGTAATAACTTTTTGAAACTGTAGTCCTATAAATTATTTGTCTTTACCCAAGGAAGTTCTACAAGTGTGTACAGTACAGTAGATCTACAGATTCTGCATTAATCCAGGGAGACTTTCTCAGTTATAACCTTAAATTTTGGTTTCTTTATCTACTTAACCACTTCTTAGCCTACCTGCTAATGGCAGTCAAGTGTTAGTACAGTACAGTCAACCCTCGCTTTACGCGGTCCCACTTTACGCTTTTCCACGTTTACGCGGTACCCTGCCGAACACGGAATGCTCACTTTCTGCGGTGTGCGTACCCCTTTACGCGGAGAGCGGCTGGCGGTCCTCTCGCTCCGCGCCATTTTTTTATCCAAACCTCCCGCCATCTCTCCCGCCATGTTGTGTAAGCGGCGCGAGTAGGTTGCGCAGTGTATGTCTTTGTTGCGTTATCGGTGACGTAATATGACATAGCGGACTGTGATTGGGCAAAGCATCCTTACCTCCCTTCCCGCTAGCTGTGATTGGTATAATGTACTATGACGTGCCCCGCCGCGGGAGCGTTCAAGCCCCTTGACCTACCCGCGTCAGTTACACCCCTCCCGGCTACACCGTGTATATCGGTATCCATTGTTCCATAAGAATGGCTTCCACCGGACCACCACCACCACAAAGAAACCTTGCATTACCTGGACCCAGCCGCCCTAAGCCAAAGAAGACACGACGTTCCTTAACTACACCACCACCCCGACTTACGACGGGGTTAGACCCAAATCCAGGTCGTAAGTCCGATATGGTCGTAAGTCCGGATAAAAAAAAATTAATAAAAAATCTACAATGAAATACAGTACAGTAAAAGTAATGAATAATGATGAATGGATACAGTACAGTGAAAGTAATAAATAATAAGGAATGGATACAGTGTGACTGAGCACTTAACCTTTAATGTAGTCCATGCAATGGGGCCCCCATAATTTTCTAATTATACATGGAGACTACATTAACTGGAAACGGTATAGAAAATGCGTGTTCCTATAAGTCTAAGTCCCGACGGTCGTAAGTCAAAGTCGGGGTCTATAAGATCATACAAGAGTTGGAGAAAGGAACAAGACAGGTTGATCTCGCGCGCCAGCATGGTGTTAACGAATCAACTATCAGGACAATTAAGAAGGATGCAGCCATGATAAAGGAGCACATGAACATCACAAAGTCTACAGGTGCTTCTATGATCAAGTATTTCCACAACCAGGTGCTTCTCAAGACGGAAAAATTACTTGGTGCGTCAGGCGCGACGGAACATGGCGGTGGACACGCGCTCATTTAAGGAGTACGCACGTGAACTGTATGCTGCAGTGTCACGAAAGATGGGAATTACAGAGCCCAAACCCTTTAATGCTTCCTCTGGGTGGTTACAGAGGTTTAAGAAGAGGAACAAGATCACCAATATCAACATTGGTAGTGAAGAAGCTAGTGCTGACCGTGTTGCGGCTAGGGAATTTCCTCCGTTTTTACATGAGATTATGGAGGAAGGACAGTACACCGATGACCAGGTGTTTAACATGGACGAATCTGGTCTTTTTTGGAAAAAGCTACCTTCCAAGACCTTCGTTGTGAAGAATGCCAGCAAGTGTCGGGGCCGGAAGTTGCAGGAGCGCATCACCGTCCTGTTTACCACCAATGCCTCCGGTACCTGTAAGCTCAAGTTATCGGTGATCCACACAGCACGCAAGCCGCACGCCTACAAGAGCATGGACATGACCAAGCTAAATGTCCACTGGCTGACCTCACGTAAGGCGTGGATGTTCTCTACTCTGTCCCTCTCCTGGTTTGGTGACTTGTTTCGTTCCCGATGTGAAGAAATTCTGTGAGCAACAGAATGTGCCATTCAAGATTTTGTTGCTGCTTGACAACGCACCAGGACACTCGCCCCTACTATTAGATCGTCACCCCAACGTAAAAGTGGTCTTCCTTCCTCCCAACACAACGTCTATAATACAGCCCATGGACCAAGAATTGATCTGCAATGTAAAAGCTGCATTCTCTGCTAAAAAATTCAAGCTCCTGAATGACTACACCAACACCAAGGAAGAGTTGCGTAACCTGAGTGACACCAACACCGATAGCAAGAGCGAAGACGGGGAGGATCAACAGTTGGCAGAGCAAGAAGTACTTTTGAAACAATTCTGGAGAACATTCAATGTCAAGAAAGCTGTGGACTTCATGGTGGAGGCATGGGATCAGCTGTCTGTAGCAACTGTTCGTCACGCATGGAGACGTGTTGCAAGGTATTCCGGGTGTTAGGCAGAGTAAATCTGTGACTGGTGAGGTTCAGACTGTTGCAGTAGCAGTGGACCTTGCCAGAGAAGCTGCACAGAGTGTTACAGCTGCAGGCTTCTCCGAGACCACCAACAACGACATCCTGGAGGTGATAAGGGATCCTCATGTGACTACCGACGAGATGGTAGATGATGATGACGTCAGTGAAGAGGCAGGTGGTGCGTCATCCCAAGAAGAACGCCGCTTATCCCATAGTAATGTAAGGGGTGCCATCGAGTGTATTGAGAAAGTCAAGCTCCTCCTTTCCGACGACCCTGACGTTAACAGGTATGAAATCTTCACTACCCAGCTGTTGCAGACTACGGAGCCCTACATCAAGGTTTATCACAACAACATAAACACCAGCCGTCAGCAAAGCATAACAGAGTTCTTCGGCCGCAACCCACCACAGCCAGCCCAAGCCAGTGATAGTGACAGAGGCAGAGACAGTGATGATGACTTTGAGGGATTTGTCAGGGAGGCACTAGTAAGTATGGATGACACCGATGAAGACTCACCTGAGGGCCAGTAGCCTGCCCTCTGCTTCTGAACCAGCCTCCATTCCCCTACGCCAACCCATCTCTTCTACTAACGTAAGTGTTAACCCCAACCTTGTTTTTTTCTAACCTAACCTTCAGTTTATTATTCTCTTATTGATTGTTCCCTTCTATATTATATGTGTGTGAATACCATCATAAAGTTAAGATGTTATGTTTAGCAAAACGTACGTATTGTGTCAGGAAAAAGTGGAGTTTGGGGGTCGTCCCGGTCTCTACTTCAATTAATCCCATATGTTATGTTGTTCACTTTACGTGGGCCGCCGTGGGTTCAATTAACCGCGTAAAGTGAGGGTTCACTGTATATGAAAAATCAGAGTACCTGGAGAAAACTTGCAATGTTCAGTAGCATCACACGGGACAATACCCATCTTATATCTGACCCAGATGGTAATCAAACCCAGATAGTAGTGGTGAGGAACAATCATGTTGTTACTTTACTACTGGCACCTCGAGGAGTTTTGTGAGGTGTCAGTTAATATTTTTGTATTTTAAGAGTTATCATGTTAGGTACAGTACAATACGCCTTATCAATTGTCTTAACTTGCAAAAAAAAAAAAAAAATTAATGAGCTTGTCTTTTTACTTACTTTTTTACTTTTATCCTCTTCGCCACTGATCGGCACATTAGCTGCCTGGGCGGCTGGTCACGTCTCTGTTACAAACTGTTGGCAAGTACTGGGCATGAACCTGGTCCAGTGCTGGGCAAGTCCGCTCTTGAAACAAGTCACACTCGGTGCCGTCACAACACTCTGGCAGGTTGTTCCAATAGTTCACAACTCTCACTCCAAAAAAACTCGCCCTCACAGTTTTCTGGACTTGTGGCTTCTTCGTCCTTGAGCTGTGACCCATTGTGGGGCGAGCGTCCACGAGCTCCAGGTATGGACAGTCAACTGAGTAGTGCCCTTTGAGATGTTTATACACCTTAATTAGGCCCCCCCTTGCCCATCTGTAGTATAAGCTAGGCAGTTTCAGGTGCTCTAATCTTTCTGGATAGCTGAGGTGCCGAAGTACAGGCACCAATCGCGTGGCCCTCCTTTTGGACATTTTCAATCAACTGACAGGCGGGGAAGCACGTCACTGTTTTTAAGAGTGTTACGAATGACGGACCGTCTAGATATCAGAGCGACCACCTTAAAAGATCTAATAATTTAGTTGCTTGATTCACCTTCTTCTACAATGGCTCGAGAACTTCAGTTCATTTTCAATATACACACCCAGGTCCTTTTCGCATTCAGTCTTTAGTAATGCAGTTTCTTCGTCCCGTTGGGACATATGATTTGCCTCCTTACCGTTGGTGCATCCCAGGTGCATCCTCTTACACTTAGTGACATTGAATCTTAGCAGCCATTTATTTGACCATTCTTGAAGCTCCCAGAGATCTTTCTGCAGCTCTTCACAGTCTGTTTGGTTCTTAATTTTTCTAAATAACTTGGCATCGTCTGCAAACATTTGTATGGAGGTGTGTATAGCTTCTGGCATGTCATTTATGAAATGAACAAACAACAAAACGACATGCCTGAGAAAAATCTGTATCCATGAAACAGAAGTATACTTTATATTAGAACTGAGATGATTGTTTACTTCCACTGGGACCATCATTGAGTAGTATCAAATAATTATCCGATTTTTAATTCATATTACCAAGTGTTTACGTTAAGACGGGGAAAGAGATTGAGAGACCACAAGTATAACAGTGGTACTTGAGACTCCCACAAACTCAGGGAGATAAAAGCAAGTTTAAATAATATGAGAATAATAATGGTACAA